GACTCATCCCAAGTGGGCCTCAAACCCTGCCCCTCCCCACCCAGCAGGCGTGAGGAAGCAGAGGAGTGATTTCCTGCCTTGTGTGTGTGTGCGTGTGCATGCGTGTGTGTCCACAGCTGGGGGGTGGCTTCATGCTTATGTTGTTGAACCTTCTTTTTAGGACAAATATGCATCCCACTAGAATGCTGTTCCAGAAAAACAGTGGATTTTAACTAAGGCATACATTATTTATACTTGGTGCCCAAGAAAATAATTACACCACAATTTGTGGAGAAAGTTAAATAATGGAGGTGACATTGGTTAATAACATTATATAAGTTTGAGGTGTTCAAGTTTACAGTACTTCACCGGTATATTGCATTGTGCACTCTCTGCCCAAAGTCAAGTCTCTGTCCGTCGATATACATGTGACGCCTTTTACCCTCTTCGTCCTCCCTGACCCCCTCCCCCTCTGTAACCACCATTCTGTTAGAGACAAAAGACAGAATTCTTGATAACCAAGTCAGGTTTGACACACGTGGTTTTTTGAAAGTGTCTCTTATTATTATATAATAAATCTCATCTCCATTACTTCTGCCCTTTCAAGCTTTTGTTGTTTCCATTTTTATCTGTTTTTGTTTGTTTGTTTTGTTTTCTTCCTTCCCAGGAACAGGCTTTAGGGAAATAAAAAGCAGTTCTTTGAAAATGTGGTTGACACCTTTTGTCTTAAGACTCATCTACATCTTAAGGGCACATTTTCAAAACCAGTCAAGTAGTAGGCAAGACACTGGGATAAAAACATGAAAAAAAAAAAACCCCAACCAACCAACCAACCAAAAACTCTATGATAATTAGCAATGCTGCTATAAAGTTGCAAATGTTTCTAAAACTAGAAGTATTTCTCTAATGCATCCCTTTTTCCTCTCCTGCCCTGAGAACCCCGTCTGACTCATCAGCTGGCTTCCCAGTGGTTTTTGCTGGTGGTGCCAGGGTGGGGCCCCCACCTGGGTACAGTAGGAGAGGCACAATGGCTGCGCTTCATGGACTGAAATGCCCATTGTGTGAGGTCCTCTACCCCTCCTTTCCCTGGGCGATGTCCCGAAAGAGTGTGTGTTGGAATGTGCAGGGGGTAGGAGACAGCGTGAAGCTGATTTTGCTTTTTCCCTTCTGAGACAGTCACTCGAAATAATAGAGGACTTGCTCTGCAGAAGAATTGTCTTTTGTCTTTGTCCCCAGTGCCCTGTCGAGGTCCCTCTTTTCATCTTCCAACCTGGCATGTGTCCCCAGGAGCTACCAGAGAGTGTGGCAAGCTTGAGTCAGGCAGTGCCTCTAAGTAAAACCTCTGTGATCAGACAGTCCTGACGTCTAGAAGCATGCCTCCCCACGCTCCCCGCTCTGGGCTCTCTCTCACTGCTGTGCGGCTTTGGCTCCCTGAAGTCACACTTGCCAACAGATTTGTTTTACTAAAGGCTGGTGAGGAGCGGACATGGGGCAGCAAGACAATTTGCTTGTCACTTTCACAGCTTAATACCCAGAGCGGATGCTAGAACTCTCCCTGTAAAGATCGATCTTTTAAGTGGTGAATGTTTTCTTTTTTCTTTTTCTTTTCTAATAGAAATTCAGCTAGGAATTTTGACTGGGGGGGCCGAAATATTTTTGCCACATTTGCTTTTTTGGATTCTTTTTTCCTGGTGACACTTCCGCTACCTCAAATCCTACTTACTCCCTGCCTCTTTAATAATGTGGCCAACGTGAAGGCCATTTTAAAAACGGCCGCCTGCAGTGTTTGCGTCCCAGGTGGCTGACTTTGCAAAGGTTAGCTAATTACATTGTGTGTAAACATTCCTCATTTTCAAGGTTTTCTCCCAAAGTGGGATTTTAAATAACCCATGTATATGAGACATGCGTGGCCCTTCTCCCCATCTCTGTCCCATCCCCCTGGGTGGGATTAGTCAGATTTCAAATGCAGCAGAGAATGTGGGAATTGCAGCCACAGAAGGCCCATGTTGGGCCCCAGCCTCTGTAGTTAGTTCATGACAAAGCTGCCCGAGGGGCAGGTATTAGGGGCTCACTAAGGTTTGGGGGCACACCCCCCATCTCCATCTCCCTGCCCCCCTGCTCTGTAGCTGGTGAGGCGTTCCGGGCCATGGCTTTCAGCCCGGTGCTTAGGAGAGACTGATTTGGTCCATCTGGCTGCTTGGGGATCTCCTTCCTTCCTCCTCATTCTGAGTTTGGCCTGGAGAGTGTCAAGTTGGCTGCATGTATCGTGAACTCCCACAAAGACCATATGTTCTTTCTGATTCAATGTTCAACATTTTCCTCAGTCATTACTTACTGAGTTCTTGCAGTCCTGGGACCCAATGACATCAGAATAGATCCCCTAAGTGGTATAATGTCCCTGCACCGTGAACACACCTTTGACATCCCCGCCCCCTCCCCAATCTGTCTCCTCTCAGGCTCTTTACCTCTGTCCAGAATCATTTGACCTTGATGTCCGGCTCATTTTTCAAGATCAACTCAAATGTTACCTACTTGGTAAAGCCTCTGACCACTTGGATGTGTTTCCTTTTTCTTTTGAATCTCTATTATGTTCCCTCTGCCCTTTGTTACTTACTCATTCATTCATTCATTCATTCACTCATTCATTCATTCATTCATTCATTCAAAAAATGGTGCATCAATGGCTCGAATATGCCAGGCTTGGGATATGTCCATAAAATAGATCTCCCTGCCCTCAGAGAGAGACTATACATACACAGTCCAGGCAATGCATCACTCAGTTAGACGGTGTTTGGGAGGGGCAGGACGGGATGGACTGTGCAAAGAACAAGCAGAGCAGGGCTAGGTTGACCAGAAGTACCAGGGGGAGGAAGGGGCAAGGTGCAGTGCATAGTAAGTAGACAGGCCTCAGTGACACTTACGGAAGCTGGCCTGGTGGTTACAGGAATTTGCACTTGTGCCTTCTTCTTTCCCAACCACAAGGACAGGGAGTGGACAGATCACTGATTTATCTGCCAGCAGCACTCAGCACACAATGCCGGGTGTAATAACTGGTGGAATTCAACAGTGTATTTGAGGGCAAAGTAGTAAACCCATTTTCTATTTTCACTTTTTTCCTGCCATTAAAAAAACTGTGATAAATTTGTGCTTAAGAATCTGACATTCCTCTCCTCCTTACTCATTCTTTTCAAGACTGACTTAGTCACTGGAGCTCAGTGTGCACAGGGGCTTGGGGAGTGTGGGCCAATGCCTGGACTACTTTTACGTAAAAGAGGGCGATTTCAAGATACAAACTTCAATTACATGTAGATGAGCACAGAGGACCCTAGCTTGTTTACTGCTTTTGCCAGGTTTTGCTCTAAATCATTTTAAAAGTAAATGACTTTTGGCAACTGAATAGAGGCAAACATTTCGAGAGCATATTTTAGTATCAGTTTGCCAAGATAAACTCCAGGTTGTCTTGACAACCTCCGGATTTAATGGGCTTTCAGTTGACAAATATTTGTCGAGTGAAATAGCATCATCCCAGGGCACAACAACATCTACTGTGGCTTGCAAAGAGACAGGTGTCACGTGACCAATGAGTGTGCATTTCAGCTCTTACCTACGGTCTGAGATTATGGAAAATCAATGCAGAAGAGCTTCCTGGGCTGCACTTAGCCACTATAATTGGGTCTTGAGTCAAAAACAGATCTAAGGCTGCAGTCGATCCAATGCTCTCAGCTTCCTAGTTTACGGTGTAAATGGCTGCGGTGGTTGATAAAAGCCCTCCCCTGAGGGCTGCAGCGCTGTGTGTAAGGTACAGCCCTGAGTTCTATACTGCACCCACCCAAGAGTGTGTCGTAGGCTGATAGAGTGTCAGTGTCGGGAGGCCCCTTTTGGATAACCTGGGTCAGTTCTCCAGCAGCGTTTTCCCAGGTGGGAAGGGAAAGGAAAGAACCCTCAGGGAAGGCGCTCAGATGCCCAACCCCAGTCCCATGCCTGTTCTTCCATTTGCCTCTCAACACACCTTGACCAGTTTTACTGTTTTCATGCAGATGCCCAACCCCAGTCCCACACCTGTTCTTCCATTTGCCTCTCAACACACCTTGACCAGTTTTACTGTTTTCATGCTTCCATGAAAGATTTTGTAGGAAGCAAGAGTTCTGGGACTATAGAGACTTTAAAAGAAATAGTTTGATCTAGATTAGCTCATGCCCTTTTTCCAGGTACAGACACAGCCCCTTGAAGAAGGCAAGACACACAGGCCTATGTGGCGTGCCCTCAAGTTCTGACAGTAGCTAGAAATTTGCCTCTTGGGGATGTTTCCTCATGTGTCCACCTCCGGGGCTCAGTGTGGGGATCAAATGGGACAGAAAGGGAAGTACAATGTATAAGAGAGTGTGCGTGTAATGCATGAGCTACGTGTAAGGTATTATCTTATTCTCTTCCACCACTAGAGTGATTATGTGGGTTGTCAAACTGTGTTCCAAGGAGTTCTAGGGATCATCTCAGGAGGCTTAGGGACCTCCCGTCTTCAGACAAAGCGTCTTCCCTTTTATCTGTCTTCTATGTCAGGCTTCTAGATCAAATTTATTTTGTAGATAGGGCGCTGTAGTATCAACAATCTTTGAAGGCCACTGATAGAGAAGGATTTTTGCAAATGAGAATCAATAGTTGTTTGTTAGAACTGCTGGTGCTCATCTGTGTCTACTGAAATGACTAGCCACTGAATATTCAGATTGGCTGGATGCCTGGCTCAGGAAGACCACCACTGATGTAAGCCTTATGGACCGATTGGCTTGAACTGACGAGTCTAGAAACTGGTGACTGGCAAGGCTGAAGGTCACTGTGGAGACCTTGGAGCTGCACTGAGTCTTGGGGTGTCTGTCTCAAGGCATTTTATTTTATTTATTATTTCATTTTAATTTTGTTTGCCAGGCTGTTTATAACTGATGTGGTGGTTCAGTGTAAGCACCAAGGTGAAAAATAAGTGGTACCTGACAGGTGTTGGCTCTTTCTTTCCTGTCTTCATTTTTTAGTGTACTTACATTTCAATCGACCAAGTTCCCAAGACCCATGCCATTGTGATCAGCAGACCCGCCTGGCTTTGGGGGGCAGAAATGGGAGCCAACGAACATGGAGTGTGCATAGCCAACGAAGCCGTCCATGCCAAAGAGCCGGCCACTGAGACAGAAGCCTTGCTGGGGATGGATCTGGTCAGGTACTGGTACTGCTCGGTGACTCTTTGAAACTACTGCCCAGGACAGGTGGGGGGGGGGAAGCATTCATCTCCCTCCAAACCTCATGTTTTGTAATACAATCCTCCTAAAGAAAACGCGTGCCATTTGATATAAACTTTGAGGTGTGACAAAAAAAGAGAGAGAGAATAGATTACAGTGGAATATTATTCTAACCCCCCCAAAAAATCAAGTACTGATACATACTGCAACATGATGAATCTCAAAAAATTATGCTGAGTGAGAGCAGCCAGACACGAAAGGTCACATATTGTGTGATCCCATTTCTATAGAGTACCCAGAATAGGCAGACTTGTGGGAAGGGAAAGGAGGCCGGTGCCCGGAGAGCGGGAGTGACCCCTAATGATCTGGGCTTCTTTCCGAGGTGTGGGATGTGTTCTAAACTTGGGCCTTGGCGATAGTTGCACAACGTGGTGAATATGCTAGAAACTAGTACACTGTGTATTTTGAATGGGTGGTTTATGATATTTGAAACATATTTAAAATCTGTAAGAGAAAAAGGACGTATATAAAATCCATGAAATACAAAGGACAGAAGACTGGAGACCAGTTTCCCCCTTTCTCCTCTCCCTCTCAGTCAGGCTTTCTTCCTCTCCCTGCTCTTCCAACCTCTGTGCAGCAGAAGGGGTCGGCAGGACAGGGGTCTTTGTCTGCTTATTCATCACTGTGTCACTGCTCCAGGAATCACGTGCCTGGCACATAATGGGTAATCAGTGACTGAGTTTGGAATGAATGGCTAAAATAGAGGGTAGGCTGGGATGGAATGACATTCTGAAATGGCTTTTTTTTTCTCCTGAGATAGTGAAACGCATTAGAGTCATGGGCAACATTGAAAGGAGACTGGGCAGGGAGCTGGGGCCCTTGGTGTTTGGTGCAGATACACCAAGTCATGTCACCTCTCTGGGCCCCGGTTTCCTCGTTTGTCCAGTGTGAGTCCTTAGATTGGATGCCATCTAATGGACCTCCCAGAGCTAACATTCTGTAAGAAGGAACAGCGATGTTCCCATTTTGTAGGCAGTGTAGGGCGAAGTTGCACATTTTCTCAGAGACCTCTGTGTCCCATAGCTTCTGCCAAGCGGTGGGTAGGTCTGTGAGTCGCCCTTTTGGTATCACATTGTCTTTGTTATGCCTTCCTCACCGTCTTTACTTTTCCAGGTTCTTACAGACTTAGGGGAGCAGGTCGTCCTTTGAGCTGGAGAAGAGGAAAAGCCTCATATTTATAATCAGTTTTCTCTTGATTAACAGAATGAAACCTACAGGATAACAACAAGTTTTAAGCTTCTGTTTTGACAGCTGTCCCAGTATTTTTACTACCATCCTTTCCAGAAATCCTGCAAATGAAGAGTTAACAGTGAAAAATATTACCCTTTTAGGCTTCATGTACAGTCTTGCCTTTTGAGTTGCCATTATATTTGTGCTATGGGATTCACAGCACTGGTGAAAGATGACCATTTTAATGGTTGATTTCTCTGGGATGGTGGAAGAGAATTTGTTTTTTCTTCAAAGCCTCTGATGTATCTTTTAAAGATGATCAATCTGTACTACTGGATAGCTGCTTTGTGCTAGACTCCGTTGGCACATGAAGAAACTCAAAAGCTTCAAAGAGACTTTTAGTCTGGTGGCAGGAAGAAGACAAGAAAATTGAGCAAGGCATGGTTTTCAGACCAATTTAAGATAACAGTGGGAGAGTCGTGCTTCAAGGCTTTGAGGTCTGTAGCCACACGCATGGCATGGAATCCTAGGGAATGGCCCTCAGCAAACCCTGTGGGCTGCCCAGAGACTGTCATGGGCTGCGTGTGTGTGGGAATGCTTCGAGAAGGCCGAGGGATGTAGACAGAGACTAGGCAAAAGGTTTCACACCCCATTCCCCCCCCAAGTCAATGCAGCCCTTAAGCTCCACTTACTTCCTTTCAGCTCTCTGGCTGAAGGCTGGTAATCTTTCAATGCCCCAAAGGTCACGAACCCAAGAGAGACCTTGCAGACTCCTTGATTGTGGGGAAAATGGAAGGTTACAGTTGGCCCTCAGCATGGGTTTGAACTTTGTATGGGTCCACTTACACGTGGATTCTTTTTTTTCAATCAGTACTGTAAATGTATTTCCCTCACAGTTTTCTTAATAACCGTTTCCAGCTTACTTTATCATAAGAATACAGTATATAAAAGTATAATATACAAAGTGTGTGGTAGTCAACTTTATGTGTATGTTATTAGTAAGGCTTCTGGTCAGCAGCTGGCTATTAGTTGTTAAGTTTCGGGCAGAGCCACAAGTTGTGTGTGGATTTCTGACTGTGTAGCTATTGGTGCCCCCAGTCCCCAGGTTGCTCAAGGGTCAAGCGTATGTGCATCTGCATCCCCCTAAGAACACACCCCCATAAGGGAAGGGGTAGGGACCATTTTCATGAGTGATTATATATCCATGGTAACTTCAGTTATAACTTAGTTTACCTTAATTGGGACGCCAAGGGGCAGGGGTCTCCCTGCTGTACGGGGGCATGGCTATCGGAAAGGTGAGCAAGTGGAGCTCCTCAACGCGGGGGCTTCAAGCAGGACAAGTGCAGATGAGACTCATCTTCTTTAGTGAGATGTGCTAACATTTCAGGAATGGGCTCTATGCACTTGACATACCTGTAAGGAAGTCAGGGTCCTGAAGAGGGCTTTGCCCAAGGATTTAAAACAAGAATGGAATGGAGAAAAACTAATTCTGAGACCTAGAAGAGCCTGGACCAGCCACCTACTTCGAAAGGACTAAAATCGCACTGGAGGCTGATGTCAGAGCGAGGCTAACCTTGGCCCAGTTAATTTCACCCCTTTCCCTGCCCCTGTCACACCTACTGCGAGGTCAGCAGCCAGTGTGAATTAGGTGTGGGGGCCAGAAAGGTGCCGTTTTCGTTTTGAATCTTGTGAACCTGCCCCACCCAGGAAGTGACACTTGTGAGAGCTGTAGGACAGGCCTCTGGGTGCCGTGTGACCTCTGGCCCCAGGTTGCTGTGACCCTGGTGCATATTCACCTCTCAGTCTCAGGTGGAATGGGAAACCTCACTGTCACTCATGGCCCTGGGACTGAGAGGTTGTCCTGTCCCTGTCCCTGTCCCATGGCAGGGAGACAAGGTGGGACAAAGGAATATCTCTTTTTTTCTTCTCGGCATGAGGCATAAAATTGGAATCATCCCTGTGGAAGTGTGAATGCAAGTACTAGGGGTCTCATTGCGGAACGGGAACAGGCAGAATAGCAGGAGAGTTGAGTTAGAAAGTGCAAAAGAGAAGTCACAGCCCCCAAAGGTGGGGGATTGCCCCAGCCAGGCATCTACAGGCTCCTGGCACTTTTGCATGGGCAACGGGGTGCCTGGGGACAGGGATCTGCCTGGAGTGCAAGTATGAGGCAGGGTGACCAAGGACCACCAGGGACCTGTGGGGAGGAGGAAGGGGCCAATCTGGGTGCACACCTCCAGGTTGGGAGCGGTGCTTATAGTGCATTGGTCTGCTTTGGATCCTCAGGATAAGATGAGCATTTACTTCTCTGGCTGCTTTTTGTTGGCACCCACCACCAGAGAGCCAACTTACTTTCGTCTTCTAATGGGTTTATTCTTTCATCACTCACTGTAGGTCTTAGTGTATAGCTTTGCAAATCTGCCTTGGCACCAAGTCTTCCTAAATAAGCTTAAAGTGAGAAATGCCAAGTCAATTGACATATAGTAGTTATCTGACTATGAAGGGAGGCCTATTACAAGAATAAATCCGTAGGCTGTAACCTTTTCTTCTCCCTGGCAGTACAGTTAAATGAATGTCCCATCAGGAAGAATCGGGCTGGGTGAGCGTTAGTGGTGATTGCTCCTCCAGCTGTGATTTTCCCGAAGCACTGGCCGGTGCCACCCTTGTAGCCAGCCAGTCCATCACCTTGTTCTAAGACCCTGTTTCTGCCACCAGAATTTGATTTGAATGAAGAAATGAATAAATGGACATTTCCTGAGTACTCAGCATGTGCGGTCCTCTTCCAAATCAGCCAGGGAGGGAAGTCATACTGTTTCCACCGAATGGATGAGAAGATCAAGGTTTGGAAAGGTTGAGTTACTGAAGGTCATACTGCCCGTGGAGGTCATACAGCCGGAAGCTGGGCTCCTTTATTTCTCAGTTGTTTGTTTTTCTGCCATGAAGTGTCGCCTCTCAAAACTTACTGATCACTTATGCGGTCCTGGGTGCTTGTGTTACATAGTTTCATGTTCATTATCTCACAAAACCCACCCTCCTAGCAACCCAATGATATGGGCACTTATTTCATAGGTGATGTGAAACTGAAGTTCAAGTGTGTTGTGTAACTTGCCCAAGGTGGCACAGAGGGCAAGATCTGTGCCCTCTTTAAGGGGTTTGATAATGGAAGGGCGGGGAGGAGACTGTGGTTTCACTTCAGAAGAAATACGCACTTTTTGATAACTGAAGCTGGGAGCTACCCCAGCAGGCAGTAGGCTGATGGGCAGCAGGATAGTTGAAAAAGGGTTGGTATCGACCTTGTCCTAACCAGCAGCCATTCCTACTGAGCTCTCTGAGCCATTTATATGCACCGGAGACAATGGCTGGCTATAGAGCACCTTCATTACTAACCAAAAACACCTGGTGTAGAATAAGAGCGAACATGGCTGCGCTGGGCAGAGAGTTCCTTTTGCCCAGAGGCAGGAGGGAGAATGAGCCAACAAAAGGGGTCTTGCTAAGCATTAGGGCTGAGCTGGCAGCTCGGCAGGTGTGTGGGAGACAGAGCTGGGAAAGAGAAAGGGAGGCAGCGGAGCCACTGGGGTCCTGCCTCTTCTGTGTGGGCGGGGGCTGCCCACAGACAGAGAACACCCCCACGACTATGAACCGAATGCGTGTGGGTGCTGCCCACTTGTTTGCATATTGGCCTGCGTAGTTAACATACGTACACGTGTTGGCACACTTCATAACTCAGCCTCATCCCAGTCTTTGGTCGCTATGGTAACGATCACATGGTACAAAATGATTGAGGTGTACCTCTGCTTTCCATCAGGCTTGGTTTGGAAAGAGGGTCAACAGCTAAGGAAGCCCTTGATGTCATCGTCGCCTTGTTGGAAGAGCACGGACAAGGCGGGAATTATTATGAAGACCCAGCCTCCTGCCACAGCTTCCAGAGTGCTTATCTGATTGTGGACCGTGAGGAGGCCTGGGTGCTGGAGACCGTGGGGAAGTACTGGGCTGCTGAGAAAATCACAGGTGAGTGGGTGCAGAGGGCGAAGCAGGAGCTCCGCCGCAGCAGTGGGGAATCAAGCCCGTTGTTCTCCGTGGCCCGCGTCAGTCAGTGGTCAGGGTTGCCATGGACAACGGCGTGTGGTGTCCCAGAAAAGGCCGCCCCATGGAGGCAGTGAGATCTACCCGTGGTTTCCTGACCAAGCCGTGCACGGCTGCGTCTGCCTGGAGGAGGGGAGGTTTCTTCTTCTCGTAAGGGTGCAGAGTGGCATCTCAAAGCCCTCTCAGAGCGTGTCCACCCACGGGTGCCCCGCATATGGGTGCAGGCGTGTCTGCCTGCTCTACTGCCACAGAAGTTACAGGGCTGGAGTAGCTGGCGTGGCCTGCCAGGTCCCCAAGCTTCCTGCGATGCAGGAACTTAAACCTCCCCTAAGGGAACCTCTCTCCAGATGAAGTCTTTTTGTCAAATGCTTCCATGGAGAAGGCTATTGGTCCTTGCTGAAAAACAACCATATTGCTTTTAAGTAGAATGTAAAACTGTTTGATCTATAACTGTACTTTAAAAGCTTATTCTCATTTTTAAATATAACTTAAAAACCTACCTTATCAAAATGAATGTTGTCTTTCACTAAATAATTAAATTAAAAAAAACCCCGTGCTCTGACTGGTGTGGCTCAGTTGGTTGGGTGTCATTCTGCAAATCGAAAGATCGCCAGTTTGATTCCCTGTCAGGGTACATGCCTGGGTGGTAGGTTCGGTCCTTTTGGGGGGGCGTGTGTGAAAGGCAAACAATCAATGTTTCTCTTTCTGTCTTTCTTTCTCCCTCTCTCTCTAAAAACAAATAAATAAAATCTTTAGAGAGAACCCCCAGCCATTCCTGGATTCATTGATTTTATGTCCTCTCGTCTCAGCAGTACTGTGATTGCAGTAGGGTTTAATGAACTCTGGCCCGCAAGCGCTAACATTCTTGAAAGCAAATGTCTATTATAAATCAGTCTTCTAGGAAAATAACGTCTGTAGAGTTATTTATAAGACTTAAAAAATATCTTAGTGTGGATAATGTCAAAATCACTTACTGCCCTGGCTGGTGTGGTTCAGTGGATTGAGCGCTGGCCTGCAAACCAAAATGTCACTGGTTCGATTCCCAGTCATGGCATGTACCTGGGTTGCGGGCCAGGTCCCCAGTAGGGGGCACATGAGAGGCAACCCATCCATGCATCGATGTTTCTCTCTTTCCCTCTTTTTTACTCTCTCTAAAAATAAACAAATAAAATATTTTAAAAAATCAAATATTTAGGCCAAAGAGGGCCTATTTTTTATTTTCATTAAAAAATAGTTTTAGACTATGGTGTCGTCTGAAAAGATGAATGGCAAAGGACATCAGCCAGGAAAGCTTACTACAGAAGAGCACACCAGCGAAGCTGAGAGGCTCCAAGAATGCAGTCCCGCCCTGCCCTGCCTCCAGGAGCTGGATTCAGGCAATAAGGGCTTTACTGCAGCTTGAAGACTGGGCGCTCTCTCTCTCTCTCCCTACTTCATTCTCCAAGAATTTAGAAGATCAGCATGCTACCTGGAAGAAGCAGCAACTTTGAATAAACGTTCTGAGCTACAAGTGATACCTTTGTAGTGATCTGGACATCATCTTGAAGCTTGAGGGTCAGGGTGTCCTCCCTCAGGCTTTGGAGAAACCATAGCAAGGCTTCCAGCACACAGGGGGATCGGTCCCTTAACACTCATTCTTCAAGGCGGAGTGTATTCAGAAAGCAAACATGTCTGATTCCAGACTTCCTTAGCTACACTTACTATATTTTTATGAGAAAAAAATTCCCATGGAGTTTTCTCCCATGCACACGTGACACACTTCTGTCTATTCCCAGGTGAATTATGTTATTTTAAAACTATTCATGATCAGTATCACTATGTTTGTCTAAATGTTGGGACCTGAAAAAGTAGTTGAATGAAGGAGTATCATATTTGTATTTATATGCAGAGGGTGGTGCTGTACGACGTTCTTTGGGTAGAGCAAGACTAAATTTTGGGGAGCAAGATTCTCTACAGTGGCTACATTCACAAGTCTTGTTAGTAGCTCAATACCTTTTTCAAAGGACCTTCTACTTTTCCTGTAAGTAGTAAATGCTTGGGGTTTACGTAGCCAGAAGGAAAGGTTTCTTTTTGACTATGAATTAAAGAGCAAGTGAGCACTGCTCTTTTACAAAGTGATAATGCCAGTCAGGATGGGTCAAACCTTCTGGGAGAGCTTCTCAGAAGAGGAACAAGGATCATCTGTTTCCATCTTCAAAAATGGAGCTTGTTGCATCCCTGTAGTTAAAGTCAGGTTGCAGGGGAGAGGGTGCCTGTACATTTCCAGCTGACTGGTCTGTGCACTCTCTGCAGAGGGAGTCAAGTGCATCTGCAATCAGCTGTCACTCACCACGAAGATTGACGCAGAGCATCCTGAGCTCAGGAGTTATGCTCAGAGTCAAGGCTGGTGGACGGGAGAGGATGAGTTCAATTTTTCCGAAGTTTTTTCTCCAGCCGATGACCATCCACACTGCTGCGCAGGCAAAGACCTCTTAGAAAAGCAAGAAGGTGAGTTCTTCCCTCACGATTCTCCCTCTCTTACCTTTTATCTCGCAGTGATTTTAGAGAACTTGTCTGAATTCGGGGTGAGCGGCGTGGCAAGGAGGGGGAAAGAATAGACCTCGTGTATAGAGTGCAACTTGTGCTAACGTCCTTGATGTTCAGGCGAGATGACAACTTGCACTTATTCTCACATGGTGCTTTCTCATCCATGAAGGCTTCCCGCCGCCATTGTGATACTTGTTGCAACCATTCTTATACCTCAACGTTTATGTGTTTGACTTAACTTCTTTCTGATTCTCTCCTCCTGCTGGGCCTTGAGGGCAGGGGTGTTGTCTTTTACTCCTCTTAGGATCTTATTGTGCTGTGTGTTGTAGTCCTTTGTTCTGTGAACATTTATTAAGTTAACTGTTGAATTGAATTTTCTTCATGAGCCCTCTGTCTCCCACCCAACTGTCTTGGTAAACACAGTGATTGGGTAGCTCGTTACTTTTGTGCCGGAGTGGAAACCTTTCCAAATAAACCTTAAAGGGCCACATTTTATATTTGCTAGTGAGACATGTGTTTTGTTAAGTCAAGCCAAAGCTTGACTAACAAATAATCAAAATTATTTAGAATAGGGGTCCACAAACTATGAGCTGCTATCAGCCACCTGTTTTGTAACTAAAATTTTATTGAAACACAGCCACACCTGTTGATTTATGGCTGCCTCTGTGCCACAGGGGCAGAGGTGAGCAGTTGCCAACAGGTGAGTAACAACGGAGACTGTATGGCCCATGAGCCCAAAATATTTATCTGGTTCTTTAAGAAAGAGTTTGCTGGGCCTTAATCTAGAAGAACATGTTGAGACTTTTGCTATAGAACTTAAAGAGTATATTCTGAGCAAAAAGGTCAAAAGTATCTGTAAATAATTAAAAATGGGAACTCAAAAAACACCCCCTCAAAGTTTTAATCTAAAAAAGTTGCTTGATGAAAGGATGTAATACCAAGTATGAAGTTGTCCTGCCGAAACATCACCCCTAAATCTGATGATGCCTGCACATCCAGCTCCTAGTTTACAGTAAATGCACGGAGTGGGTAAACATATTAAATGGGGCCATGGGGGTGCCAGCTGCCAAGTTCAGACCCAGACACTGTGCAGGAAGAATGGTCCAACAAGTAAAATGTCAGTGGGATTAATGACAGGCAGAGTCTAAGAGAGGTTTAAGAGACATTGTCAACTTATTGGATCCTGATTCAAATCAATAACTCATGTATGACACAATGATGAAATTTGAACACTGGGTACTTGAAAAAATCAAGGACTTACTATGAATGTTTTTAGGAGTGACATTAGAGTTGTCGGTAGAGATTTACAAAGAGGATGTGAGTTGCGTTAGTGAACGTCAAGGTACCTTCTCCCTGAGAGATGCATTGATTCCCTCTTTGGAAACACAGTCTGAGAGAATCGAGTTTTAATGAATTATAACCAGAGGGAGAAAAAGTAGAACTGGGGTCAAGGATTTGTTTGTTTATCTACAGTCAGAGCCAAGAGTTGTAAGGACTCTGACTATTCTAAATACCTCTCTGTGCATGTTTTCCTCTGCAGAGAGGTCATTTCCAAATATAGTAGTGGTTCTAACCAGAAAGGGTATGTGAGCGCACTTGAACTTGGTGGGCTGTGCATGGTTTGCATGTACCTTCCTGTGGATGTCCTTCTCTTGTGTTACTATGCCGGCTGAGGTATTGCTAAATGCTGGATCAAAGAAACCCCGGAATACTGTGGCTTAAAGAAAATGGAAGTATATTTCTCTCCCATGGTATAGTCCAGATGTACTTGGATAGTCCAGGGCTGGTAGGTTACCATGCTCAACACATGGCTTCCATTAGGGATCCACTTGCTGGCATCTGCCAGCCAGCAAGGAAGGGAGCAAAGGAGAGTGAAGGGCAAGCATCCCTCTTTATGACAAGGAAGTCGTACACATCATTTCCGCTTGCCTCCCATTGGTCAGGATTTGTGCTATGGTCAGTTATGTCCCCCAGATATCATTTCAGGAGTTATATTACAAACAAAGGGAAAGGACCAAATGAATTTTGGCTCACAGCCTGCCACAGTTATATCTCCCGCAACCTCTCTCTTTACAGAAAGCATCACTGTGCAGACTATGATTGACGTCTTACGGGACAAAGCCAGTGGCGTCTGCATAGACTCCGAGTCTTTCCTCACCACGGCCAGCGCTATGTCTGTCCTGCCCCAGAGCAGAAGCTCACCATGCATCCACTATTTCACTGGGACCCCAGACCCTTCCAGGTTCGTCTGAGACACAGTCATGTAAGCAGAAAGCACGAGCTACCCCTGAAAGCTGGTCCAGCAAGTGCACACTAGGTTCCCGCACTGCCTTTTGTACAGCCAAGTCACAGTGTTTAGTCGGCCTTAGTGTGGCCAGCACAGCACAAAGAGCTCAGATTAAGGGGTGGTCTTGGCTTTAGTCACATAGCATTCATCACAATCATAGAATCCAGTGGTTTTAAATTCAGCAAACACATATAGAATATCTTTCATAGGCCAGGCATTGTGATGTACTTGGGGGATGCAAAGCCAAACCAGATGCAAGGCAGAGCGATTATAGGAATGCCCAAGGTTTATCAAAACAACCACTACCTCTGAGTTAGAGGACAAAGCACATGGGAGCAAGTTCGAGTGCACTGGTCAGTGCTTTTACACATTGTATTTTAAGGGGTTGCTTCCTGCCTGTGAACTTCACCAGAGAGGTAGTGCTTTTTGGGTACTGGAGTCCAAATGTGTACAAGGAACGAGGTGGCACAAAGGAGATGACCAAGAGGAACACTTCGCAGAGGAAGGAACTCTTGAGCATGGGGCCTTGTCGGAAGAGTAGGAGTTTGTTAGGGACAAAAAGCAGGAAAGACATTGTGGGTAGAGGGAACAGTGTATGCAAATGCATAGAGGCATGAAAGCTTGTCTCCCAGTGCTGGTGACTCAATGGCCTCTTGGTGAGTACTTGCTGCTGGTGCGTGGGGGTACACGTGGGCCTGGGAGGTATATGGAATGCTCTGCCAAGTTTCGGGGCCTGTTGTTTAGGGAGCAGGAGCCTTTGAAGAAATGGGTTGAACTGAAGAGTGGATGTACCAGCCCCCCCTTTCCCGGTGTCAGATGCCTGCTGTCCCAGTACTCAGAAGGCAGGTCTTTGTGACTCCAGGACCCTGAGATAAAGGAACACTGCTTCCTAGGTTGAAGTACATGGCCTAATGCGGTGAGAGAAACAACCTGGGACATAGCCTTCAGGTATTTAAAATCTAAGATTTCAAGTAACTTTAAAAGCAGATTATCCTTGGGTCAAGCAGGAAGGCCTTAAAGAAGATCAGGACCTTTCCGGAAGGCATTCATTTCTATCTTCTGGGTTAAATGAGCTGTCTTTCTTGCTGTGACTGCAGAGCTGTCACAGGTTTTTTTTTGGTTTGTTTGTTTCAACATTTCAGTGTTTCTCCGTCATTGGACATGTTCCACATTTTGTCTTGTCAGTGGGAAGCATCACTACCTACTCTTTGGGTTTTCTGTAGTAAAATCAGGGACAGTTTAGTGGCTTCTGTTCCTTCTGAAAACATGACAGAGGCATGTTAAGGAAGCGGTGTCAGAGCAGGGCACTTGCAAAAGATTGTGATCTCACAGAGACACTGCCTGGTTCACCCCTCCCAGTCATGTTAGGGACCAGAGGATGTGATCTGACTGCTGCTCGCTCTGCCCCTGCACTTCTCTGCCCTTTGCTCGAGGTATTAATTACAGATCCTTCTCCTGAAACAACTTGTTCTCACATTCTCTTTTCTCTTCTTCCCTCCCTTATTTTCCTCCCCTGCCTCCTAGCAAGTACCAGGTACTAGGTAAGTCTGAGAGTTGGAAGGAGGTGCAAAAGTTGAAGTTTGAGAGCTAGAGGGAGATGTGAAAGACCTTTAATTAGTTTATCAAAAAAGCAAATCCCATCTTTTCAATACTTTGTTGAATCAGCTGGTGCGTCCATCACTTCTATGACTCCAATTGGCCTTTGTGCACTGGTCTGACCTTTGGAGACCACTTTCCAGTTAGAAGCCAGTACTTGTTTAAGCTTCACTGATGTGAAGAATCAGAGAGAGAAGGGAATGGAGGCCCCTTTGTGTTTGGAGACTGTAAAATCCAGAGTCCCACAGTGCACTAGAGCCAGTGAGAGCTGATTACGGACATCCTTCCCGACTTAGTGCTCAGTGAGGTCGCGTTGGTAGCTTGGAATGGGCCCCAGGGGGTGTATTTATATCACAGAAATTGGCAGACACCATGAACCAGGGCTCTGGGAAAACACACAAATGCTCAATATGCAGGATAGATAATCCAAGAGGGGGAGAGAATTTAAACATTTTCTGTTTTAAATATTAAAAGGTTATTTACCAACCCATTTACCTAATAGCATTAGGCCATGTACTTCAACCTATGAAATAGGAAATAGACTTCCAGCCAAGATGGAGGCATAGGTAGACACACTGTGCCTCCTCGCACAACCGAAAAGGACAACAAATTTAAAAACAAAAACCAACCAGAAACCAATACAGAAAATCAAACTGTATGGAAATCCAACAACCCAGGAATTAAAGAAGAAACATTCATCCAGACCTGTAGGATGGGCGCGGCTGGGCAGAGAGAATTTGCAGCAGGGCGGTGGCTGGTGGACTGGGTGGTCCCACTTTCGTGTGCGGATAAATCAGGAGCAACAACCAGGGAGCAAGACAGACCGCACAACCCAGGGTTCCAATGTGGGGAAATAAAGCCTCAAACCTCTGACTGAAAACACCTGTGGGGGTTGAGGCAGCAGCAGGAGAAACTCCCAGCCTCACAGGGGAGTTTGCTGGAAAGACCCACAAGGTCCTAGAACGTAACAAACCCACTCACCCGGAATGAGCACCAGAAGGGCCTGGTTTGCTTGTGGGAAGTGGAAGAAGTGACTGAAAACTGGCAGAGAGTAGAGTGAGCGCCATTGTTTCCTCTTGGACCCCTCCCCCACATACAGCATCACAACACAGTGACTGGGTTGCCCTGCCCTGGTGAACAACTAAGGCTCCGCCCCTTACACATAACAGGTGTGCCAAGAAAAAAAAACTGGCCCAAATGAAAGAACAGATGTTCTGGATCAAAGCTCCAGAAAAAATACATCTAAGTGAGAAAGAGGTAGCCAACCTATGAGATGCAGTTCAAAACACTGGTAATCAGGATGCTCACAGAAATGGTTGAGTATGGTCTTAAAATAGAGAAAAAAATTAAGGCTAGAAAAGAGGAAATACAGGAAAATGTACAGGGAACCAACAGTAACAGGAAGGAAACTGGGACTCAAATCAATGGTTTAGAGCAGAAGGAAGAAACAAGAATTTAAAAATATGAGGAGAGGCTTAGGAATCTCTGGGACATCTTTAAACATTCCAATATCCGAATCATAGGGGTGCCAGAAGGAGAAGAGGAAGAGCAAGACATTAAAAACATATTTGAGAAAAAAATGAAGTAGAACATCCCCAATCTGGCAAAGGAAATAGACTTCCAGGAAGCTCAGAGAGTCCCAAAGAATTTGGACCCAAAGAGGAACACACCACGGCACATCATCATTATATTAGCCAAGATTAAAATGAAGAAGAGAATTCTAGAAGCAGCAAGAGATAAGGGGACAGTCACCTACAAAGGACTTCCCATCCCACTGTCAGAAGATTTCTCAAAAGAGACCTTACAGGCAAGAAGGGGCTGGAAAGAGGTATTCCAAGTCATGAAATCCAAAGACCTACAACCAAGATTGCTCTATCCAGCAAAACTTTCATTTAGAATGGAAGGACAGATAAAGTGCTTCTCAGATAAGATCAAATTCAAGGAGTTCATCATCACCAAGCCCTTATTATATGAAATGTTAAAGGGACTTATCTAACAAAAAGAAGATAAAAAAGATGAACAGTGAAAGGACAGCAAACTCACAGTTATTAACAACCACATTTAAAACAAAAGCAAACTAACAGGACAGCTAGATCAGGAGCAGAACCATAGAAATGAAGATCTCATGGAGGGTTAGCAATAGGGGAGTGGGAGGAGGAGAAGGGGGGAGAAGGTACAGAAAATAAATAGCGTAGATGGTAGGTAGAAAATAGATAGGGGGAGGGCAAGAATAGTATGGGAAATATAGAATCTAAAGAACTTGAGACACATAGTCATAACTAAAGGGGGGAATGGTAGGGGTGGGGGTGCAGGGTGGAGGGGAATGAAGGGGGAATAGAACAACTGTAATGGCATAATCAATAAAATAAAAATTTAAAAAAAGAAGATCAAAACTAGGAACAGTAAAATGACAACAAACTGACAACTATCAACTGAACCTAAAAAATAAAAACGAACTAAGCAAACAACTAGAACAGAATCACAGAAATGGAGGTCACATGGAGGGTTATCAGTTGGGGAGTGGGAGGAGGAGAGAAAAGGAAAGGGTACGGAGAATAAGTAGCAAATGGTAGGTAGAAAATAGATAGGGGGAGGTTGCAAATAGTATAGGAAATGTAGAAGCCAAAGAACTTACATGTGCGACCCATGGACATGAACTAAAGGGCGGGGGAAGCAGGGGGAAGAGAGGGTGGAGGGGAATAAAGGGGGAAATGGGACAACTGTAATAGTGTAATAAATAAAACATATTTTAAAAACAAATGGAAAATAGGAGAAAAGTCCTAGGAAAATAGGGCATTTGACATTTTAATGGCAAGGAGCTGGGGAGATGCAAGGTGTGTGTGTGTGTGTGTGTGTGTGTGGTTTCCTCTCTCCCCTCAGTGCACTAAGCTGGAGAGGCTGCACTGGATCAGCTGACACTGTCTCATGTGTTTAATTCAGATGTTAGGGACGAGTGGCACCTTTTTGTTATTGGAGACGATATGGGCTTCAGATGCCACGGCTATGGGCGTAGAGCCTGCATGGACATATGCCAGATGCACCTCGCACCCCCTCCAATTCAGTCTGAATTCTTCCAGTGCCATCTTTCTCCTCTCTCCTATCCTACATTTTTGACTTTTCAAAACCTCCCAAAGCATCTGGAACCAGCACTAAGGTTGTCTCCTGCTCCAGAAGCACTGCTTCTAAGTGGGAATGTCCTTCACCAATGGCTCCGCACTCATATGTGAGTTTGGCTAAATGATGGGAGCGACTCACAGTGAAGCTGGAATGACAGACGGATGAACCAGAGGGACACCTGTCATTGAGAGAACCTGGTTATTCTAGATTCTTTCCCGATCGGCTCCAAGTTTATTGTCTTAATCCCAGGGGGACCTTGTGTGCTGCTCTTGTCTGGGGTGGGGGCGTGCAGCCTCTCAGTGTATAGGACGATGCTCCAGCCAGCTGAGCCCCCCGGGCCAGGGCCTCTGGGGTTTTTTTGTCTCATCTCTGTTAATCTGTTCCCTCCCTGAGTGTGTCAGAGATATTTCAAAAATTTTCAAATAAGGTAGAACCCCCAAAAAGTAGAAAGCAAGGTGGGGTCTCAGAGCGTTCCTTTCCAGCAGCCACTGCCCAGCAAACCCTGGTAGAGAGAGGCACCCTTCTCCCTGTGGAAATGGGACCCAGTGCGCCCTTGAACTGAAGGAGCCTGGCGAATGGTCTTCCCAGAACAGAGCAGGTCTGTTCAGATGTCTCCTTACTGTAAACAGAAGAAATTGCAGCTTGTAAGGGCACTTAGATTCACCGAAATGTTTACTGCACTATGCAGTCATGTCTCTTTTGTACGTACTCACCCACCACTCGCTGCTTGCCACCACCCTCCACCCACTCGCCTGTGGGGAGTCAGCTCAGGACATGTCTGCGGAATGAAAGGACAGCTTGAGGGTGTCCTCAATCCCCCGTCTGGCTGAAGCACCTCTCCTTTCTCTCCAGGTCCATATTCAAGCCTTTCATCTTTGTTGATGATGTAAAACTTGTCCCCAAAGTACAGTCTCCCTGCTTTGGGGACGATGACCCTGCCAAAAAGAAGCCTCGGTTCCAGGAGAAACCAGACCGTCGGCATGAACTGTACAAGGCCCACGAGTGGGCACGTGCTGTCATCGAGAGTGATCAGGTGAGTCTGGGGACAGGCCCGTGGAGGGTGGTGGGGTCAGTGGAGTGGTGACCGAGCTCACCCCTCACCTCCTCTCCGCACGTCTCCTCCCAAAGTCCAGGCTCCCTGGCCCTTCCCAGAATGTGGGTGTTAGTTTTCCTGTCCAGTCTCTTAAAAGAAACAGAATGAAACAAAGCCTGTACTTGATGTTCTAGAGGCCAGTGGGCTAGGAACAGTCCTCTTTCATTTCTGCTTACCTAGGAATTGCTGAAATATTATTCCCTTCTAGGTGGGACAACTGCTTTTCTGCTTTTTGTAGTTCTTTGTATACTTTTGGGGGTACAAAAATTGTACACAATGGCAACACTTTAAAGATGTTGTTTTAAAAAACTGAATTCTTCCACCCTGGCCTGTGTGGCTCAGTTGGTTGGTTGGAGTGTTGTCCCGTAACTGAAAGGTTTCTGGTTCCATCCCTGGTCCAGGAGCATATGGTCCTTGGGCCTGGTATGTAGGGAAGGCAACCAATTAATGTTTCTTCCCTTCCGCTCTTTAAAAGTAATGAAAAAAATGTCCTTGGGTGAGGATTAAAAAATCCAAAAAACAAAGAAATGATTCTTCAAAACAGATCTGGAAACAGTTGGGGCCACGTAACAGAGTGTACTTAATGCCAGGACACAGGACATTAAAAATGGTTCACATGGTGGATTTTATGGTAGATCTATCTTATGACAATAAAAGAAAGATTCTCAAGTCTCTAGCTAAAAAGAAGTTATTCTGCAAAAGGCGCATCTCCTGCCCCAGCCGAAGCTTTGGTCCACAAAGTCACAAGACATCAGTTCAAACACGACAGCCCCACAGCCGCCCTCAGAGAGGGACGTCCACAGGAGCCCAGCCTCCACTCTGGGGAAGGGAGGAGGGAGGGCCGTGGTTGTTCGACGCTCATCTGCTCCCCAGGCATTTGTTCAACAGCCTGGACAAGGTCCAGCCTCCCCTGAAGCTTCTAGGCAAACTGGTGCCTGCTGCTGTGTGGAGCCGTGAGCACAGGGCGCTGTGCAAAAGAAGGGCGACACCCACGTCAACCCCAGTGGGTTCACAGTCGCACTGGTGTTTCACTGCTGGCCACCCCGCCGACCCTCCCCTGGAGCCATGGGTCCGCGGCGGCTCTCCGCTGAGTTCAGTCGGGGGCTCCACACGTGGGATCCCACCAGTGCACATTTTCCAAGCTGGGGGCAGTAAGCCCCCAGGGAAAATGTCACTTTCTGGTGCAGGGGTGCGTGGATCTCAGGCAGAGGTAGGGTGGGCTGTGTGTGCTGAGCTCTGCTGTGCACAATTTCAAAGAAACGAGACTGCTGAGAGATTGGGTGGGCTTTGAAATTAAGAAACGACTGTTGGTTTGAGTCAAAGTGACAACACCTTCTCCCTCCCGGGACTCATTGGGCAAATGTCAGTTTTCCACGGTCACCCCACTCAGAAGAAGAGATCGCCTTGCCTTAGAACTGAAGTGCACTGGTACCTCGGTCCTCATAGTTCCTCTGTTCTGGAACTGGTGACGAGCGCTGAAACTGGTGAGGACTGAGCAAGTGACACGTGATGACACATTTTTTTCTCATCAGAACATGACGGGGTTTGATGAGTTTTGAAGCCCATAAGTACTGAGGTATGACTGTGAATCAGGTTCTTTCATCTATCCATTCATTTATTCATTCAACAAACATGCTGGGAGTGCTTACGAAGTCCAAGGTGCTGGAGGATACAGCTGAGCCTTGTTCTCAGTCCCCTGGAGCTCAGGGTCGAATGGGGACACAGGCAAGTAGACTAAGCTTCACAAGACAGGAGGAGGGCCACTGTGGCAAACGAGGAGACTCTGGCCTGCGGGGAGCCCAGAGGAAAGACTCTTAAAAAGGCTCAAAGCTGGGAGCAGGTTGGCGGGCCCTGGGGGCCAGGCCTGCACAGGCTGGGGAAGAGTATTCTGAGTTGGAGGAATGCAGTCAGTTCCGTCTGGCTGAAGAGTAGGGGTGTGGCAAGAGGTGGGCTTGTATGTCTCAACCGGCCTTCTGGGGCTGTCACTCAGGTTTGTATCCTGAAGGCAGTCGGAAGCTCTGTAAGTGTGCCAAACAGAGTGGTCATATAACTACAATGGCCTTCTGGAAGGCCCCCTGTGGCCGTCACATGGAAACACGGATGGGGTTGGGCATCCCCGCAGGAAGCTGTCCTTGTCATTGCAATGACTCCCCCGCCCCCACTGTTGTTGTCCTTCCTCAGGAGCAAGGTCGCAAGCTGAGGAAGACCATGCTGGACCTGGAGAAGCAAGGCCTGGAGGCCATGGAAGAGATCCTGGCTGGCTCGGAGCCCCCCGACCCCGCCGAGGTGGGGGACCTTTTCTATGACTGTGTGGACACGGAGATCAAGTTCTTTAAGTGAAGTAAGCGCCCCCTCCCCCCTCCTATTTAAAGTTTCCCACCTTACTAAATTACCAGCAAAACAAGCCGCTCTCCTGTCTGAGTAAAATGAGAAAGTTCTGCTGTGGTCGCCTTTTCCGAAGCCAAATCCAACTGTGAACTTGTGTGCTGCCTGGAATCTCACGACGTCCCCTCTGCCCTGTGGTCCCCTTCCTCTGCGGTGTGACCTGCACCCCACGCACCCTTCCGTTTGGCTGTAGGACTGACTAATCATGGGTTTTAAGCTGCTATCATTGTGTTTCAATGACAATGGACCCATTAGACTTCTCGGGACAGGATGAGAGTTCATCAGGCCTTGAAAGGACGGCTCCACCATGCTGGGTGTGTGGGAAAGCAAACTCTTTTGAAGTCTTACTCTTTCTCTCAGCAACGATTTCTTTCATGTTAACAAGAGGCATTTCTTTGCCTGGCCCCAGGTCTCGTGTGTGCACGCAGGGAGCAGTTTCCCACCCTCCCCCCACTGGAGTGCAGGTCCCTGGTGCAGGTCGTCTCCAGATTTGTCTTCTGAGGGGCAGGGCCAGTAGGGGAAAGGGGTCCTGTCCCGTCCCAGCCCCACCCTGATTCCTGAGATCCTCCAGAATCCGTCTTGTGTGTGTTGTGGATGCACAGACTGCTTCTGAGTGCGGGAGAGCCGGTCCTCTGGGCCAGCTGGAACCGGCCCGCTGTAGACAGTCAGGGGCAGCCATGCCTGTGACCGCCCTGAGTGGGTCACCCAAAGGCACAAGGCTTGCCCTGCTGTGAGCACGCCTGCCACGTGGGTGAGGCCTGCTGTGGAAATGATTCCAGGCCTGGTTACTGCCATCTAGTTTAGGGTTAATTAAATGGCCCTGTGGCATAGTTCCAACTCCCAAAGCAGTGGAGCTCTCAGTTAATGAGGAAAAGGAAAGGAGAAACTTCGGAGTGTTTCGTGTCTAGTGAAAGTACCCGGAATCTTTTCAGCCACAGCACTATTTCAGCAGAGACTTTAATTAAACTGACTGGGGTCCCATGTTGTGTTTGCATGAAGAATTTTACTCACCACCGGAGCATGGAGAAGCGTGTGAGGAAGGCCAGATGGGCTCAGTGCTGGGAACACAGAGGGCACAAAGGCGACAGATGGATGTAGAAGCATTTCACTCCAGGGTAACAGTCCAGCCCCCACCCTCCCTGGCCAGCCTGTTACGCCTCAGAAATCTGCATAGGGAGCAGTTGGCTTTCCCTGGTTCTTCCCTTTATCCCCCAGCACCTCCTGCTCCAGTGGCTGCCCTCAGAGGGTGGCTGAATTGGGCAGGTGGTGGGGGGTGGGCTTACCTCCAGCTACTGAGAGTCTCAGCCACTCTTGGAATTTAAAGGGGCAGAGACAATGAAGGGAAGAGTGTGTTAACATACCAGCTAGTGGGAGGCAGCAGCTTAATTACTCCCAGTGACTGCTACTCAGAAGCATTGTATCAAAGCCCATGGGACCTGCAAGGGATGTGGGTCCCTCACACAGACGTGGACCCTGAGGGTCACAGGTTGTACCAGAACAAACCTTTTTTCCTGCCAACTTCCCTTTAAGAGTGTAGGCGGGAGCACACCAGGAGCTTGCCACCAGGAGCTTGCTGGAACCAGGAGCTTGCTGGCCCGCAGTTCTGCCAGTTATGTTTGGAAAATGACTGACTGCCAGTGGTGAGGGCTAGAAAGGTTGTTTGAGCTGACAAAGGTCACAGCAGCCAGTCGTGGGGGCTTGTAGTCGCTGAGACTAAGTCCCGGTTTGGGCTTTTGCTGTAGATTAATTTAGGATCTCCTTTTTTGTAGAACTGGCATTCTGAGTGTCTATCTACCAGGGGAAGGGCGGGGTACCAGAATGGCATAGGCACCTCATCCCCTCCTCAGCCCCCCTCCAGAGTGGCTATCTAAAACAAGATGATGCAGAAAGCTACTCTAAATGTCACAATGAGCTATTACCTCCCCCTGTTATGGAACCATTTTATCGGGCCTGACATGTCTGATACCCAAGGTGATCAGAGGTTTGACCAGAAGGAATCTAGTGAGAATGAATTACACGGAGGCCTGCTCTTATTATTATGGGCCAAAGGTCATAGGGAACCCAGCCAATCTTATTGTGTTCAGTGGGAAACACAATGGCTGCTTCTGCGAGTGGGCATTGACCTTAGCCTCGCACTTCACAGGAAGGCCAAGGCTAACTGAGTTGTCTGGACTAAAGCTGTACATCACAATTGTGATGCCCCTGGGTTACCACTAGAGGGCACAGCAGCCTGGCCGAAGTTAAACAAGGCTGGGATGCTGCCATCCAGCACAAAGACAGTCTATGTGTACAGGCAAATCAAGGAATAGCAGAGGACAAATTCTTTGTACATTGGAAAGGACAAGAAGAGAGCAAAGAATCTGCTGATGCAGCCGTGCTCACTTCTAGTGATTTTTATCGACTTATATCAACAGCTCGAAGTATGTTGTTGGAGTTGAGCAGGCTGTTGTTGGGGGAACATGTTTATAGATGCTCTGGACAGACTCTGCTTCTGAAAAATGCTTATCATCATGTGGACAATTTCTTGTCCAGGGATTGCTTTCTAAAGGCAATATGGAGAAAATGAATATTCAAGATGAACTATGAAAATAACATTTAAAGTTCAGTGTGTAAATAGTTTCCTAGAATACCATTTGTGTGTCCATTAAGACTGCGAGGAGGTGGTTGTGCCATGCATGCTTTGTGCAGAAAGAAGACATGGCTGTAAAGGGTAGACCGTCTCCCCCACTCCCACACCCCATAACCCAGCCTAAGCTAGTTAGTCTTGTCTAGTGGAAGGAATTTACCATAGAGGAAGATGGCCCTCAGACTCTTAAGGCAAGGGGGAGGCAAAGGCTCCAGGAAAAGTACATTAACAAAGCAGAAGTAGTGCTTTCATTCTTGGAGATGGTTTGGAACTGTAGGTAGCGTAAGGATGTACTTGCAATTATGGTGATTCTTTAGTGCCCAATAACATAAGACACAGTGTTATTATTAGAAAGTCTATCATGCTAAGCTGCCTATTAGATATTAGCAGTGAGGTTCCTTCACTATTGGGTGAATTATTAGATGTAAAAAAAATAATTGTCCACCAAGCAAACTACTTTGCTCCCTAACTGATGTCATTCCACAGTGGCACAGGTGTGACACAGCTGCGTCTGGCCCAGCAGGGATGCCAGGTAGGACAGGTGTGCTTGTCACGAAGCCACCAGCTGCAGGCATTGATGGGGAAGGTCTTCAGCTGAGCTCTCAGCTTTTGGGAGGCCGCACATGGAGGAAGGGGGAGGGGAACCTGCCAGCTGGCCCTTCTTGCAGGAAGGGAGGAGTGGCAGGTTACAGGCACAGGCTGTCCCAGAACGCCCTCGTGCTTCCCTGCAGCTGTGGCATCTCATTCCCTTGGGCCCCGAGTCCCAGCTCCCCTGCTGTGTCTGTGGCAGATGTGCTTTCATCTGATTGACTTCGAACATCCCGAAATGTCACGTGCAGATTTCTCAAGGGGGCGAGTACGCACATGTCCGCGATTATATCGTGAAAAGTCAGACCTGTGAGCTGGGAAATGCTATTGGCAGGGGTAACAAAGGAAAGTCTGTTTCCTTCAGTGAGAACTGACCATGTAGACTTCACAGCCTTTTGTACAAGTATCTAAAACCAGATGACCTCCCCATCCAGTGCTTGCCCTTGGAATTGTCTCTAAACACATCATGCTTACAATTAAAAAAAATACTGAAATGAACGTCTGCTGGCCTCTTCTGTCCTGTGTCTCATGAATAAATGTGGGCATCATTCACAGCACAGAAAATGTGTGAAAGGGGATATATCTTGCTGATGTAAGTCTTCAGAAAACCCAATCAGTTCAGCAGTTTCCTCTATTTTTGTACCATTCTGAGGATAAATTCACTCTACAAGTAAATACAAAACCACAATGAGATCCCACCTATCGGGATGCTACTATCAAAAAACAGAAAATCTTAAGTGTTGGTGAGGGTGTGGAGAAATTGGAACCCTTGTACATTACTGGTGGGAATGTCAAATGGAGTTGGGATGGGAAACAGTATGGAGGTCCTTTAAGAAAGTTACAAATAGAATTAGCATATAATCCAATAACCCCACTTCCGAGTACATACCCCAAAGAATTCAAAGCACGTTCTCAGAGATGTGTGCACACCCATGTTCAGAGCAGTGTTATTCAAGACAGCCAAAAGGTGGAAGCACCTCTAAATGTCATTAAAGAGCATATGCACCGATGGATGAATGAATATACAGAATGGGGTGTGTACATTAAGTGGAATATTATTCAGCCTTCCAGAGGAAGGAAATTCTGACACCTGCTACAACATGGATGGACCCTAAGGACATCGTGCTAGGTGAAATCAGTGAGTTTCAAATAGGCAGATATTGTATTATTCCACCTATACGAGGTACCAAGAGTAGTCAAATTCATAGAGACAGAAAGCAGAATGGTGGTTGCCAGGGGTGGGGTGGGTAAAGGAATCTGCAAACTGCTTGTAGCATGGAGTGTGGGGCGGGTCCATTTCTGGGACTTCTGGGCCCCAAGGGGTAAGGGCTTGCTTGGGTGTTACATCACTGAACCTTCATCACTGTATGCTCAGGTACACAGTTATGGCTTCATCACAGGTAAGGAAACCAGCCCTGAGAACCCTGAACTCAGCACTGGTCAGCATGGGTAGGTTTCAACAAGGAAACAACCGGAAGCATTTCCACTTAGGACAGTTTATTAGGTACAGAGAAATGAATCTGCAGAGGAACGTCAATAAATACAAAACACCTGTGAAACCCCAGGGGCCGAGACTGTCCCGTCGGCGGTGGGGCCCTGTGACTCCGACGTCTCTGTGTGAGGTGATGGTCAGGGCTCACCCTTTGCCTTGAGAGTTCAAAGGGCTTGAACTCAGGGACAGGTCTCCAGGAGCAACGCGATGCCAGATTCCCGAGATTCCTCCCTAATTGTGATGCATGGTTTCTGCTCCTTCCTTCTCTCTGTCCTTGAGTTGTTTTATTTTTAATTTCTACCCCAGCGTTGCACAGCACGGATGTGTAAACACCTCCCTGGGGTGGGCAGAGCACTCTTATGTAGGAACTGCCTTCATCTAGGGCCTTTTTACTCCTGGTCATTAAATCCTTGGTAATTATTTTGTCCAACTGAGAGGGCGGCGGAGTGGATACCATCGTAATAAAGAAATTCTGACCTTGTGGAAACCTTGCAGAACCTTTGAAACTAATCGGCTATGCCCAGAGCTGGTGCCCTGGAGAAACTTCTGTTCCACTGATTTAGCTGTTACAGTTTGGCTTGGTTTATTCCCCAGAGAAGGGAACTTGACCTTGCTCACGCGCTTCTCTCTGCAAGGACGAAGCACAACAATAATGCTGGGTGGCCTCTCAGTCTCCAGGGCAGACCACAGGCAGGTGTGCGCAGTCTCGGTCACGTTTCCAGAGCCCTCCCTCCTGTCTACCTTTTTGGACGGCTTCCGCTGGGCGTGATACCCTCCAGCTGTGAGCGCAGGCGGGGCAGGCTCCGAAGGAAACATTTGCACTGCTCTTCCAGCCTTTCCCTCCCAGTTTCCTTTAATCTACAGCTTTTTTGATAACAGACCAGGGACCAGTCTGTTTCCTTCTATTTTCTGTCCTTCCGCTGTCACAGTCTTCCTCCCCAAGGACGCAGAATATTTGGGGTCAGGTGGCAAGTGAACACAAGCCTCCCTTCCCTCACCAGCTCCAGTCTGAGGGTGTGAGCTGCAGTCAGAGGCCTGTCCTGACCGGCTGGCTCTGTGTTCAGGGCTGGCTGAACTTGGACACCACTCTTTCCCTCCACCCCATCCAGAGGTGCCATCTCAGGGACCAGGGGCTCTCAGACCAGTTACATTGTTCAGCTCAGAAGGGAGCTGGGTTTTGCCTGGCGGATGGTTCCAGGGTTCCCAGGGCTGGGGGTGGGGCACCAGCTATTTGAGGCAGATATTTCATAACGTTTGGGTCTATACTTTATCTTGCCATAGAAATCCTGCACTCAGGGGGGAAGAAAAAAGAGACCTCTGAGATAGAATTAGTAATTTACTCTAATAATGAGTTATGTAGGTTTCTCACTTGCAGGGAAAATACCAAAATCTCATAAAGCTCACCCCCTGCCCTGCACCCTGGCTGCCAGGACGGGGCTGGGAACTTGGAAGAGACAGGAGGAAGAGTCTCGGGGACTTGGGCATGAAGGCCACTGTAAACAGAGCATTGGCTACTTGTAGGATCATTCAGTTACAAAAGGGCCAGGCCCACTCCTGCCTTGACTTTTCATTATATTTACATTAGGCAGCAAAAAAACAAAAACAAAAACAAAAACAATCCCTGTATTGCAAACGAGAACGAGACGCTGCGTCTCGCTCACTGGAGGCTGTGTGGCGCTGTCTGGTGTGGGGACACACTAGTCTCTCCGAGCTGTGTCATTTATAAGGCATTATTTGGTTTGATTCTGCAGTTTGTGCGCTGAGAATATAAAATCATGCCAATGAGAAGCTGCGGGGGTTACTGTGACGTTGGGCTACTTGCAAACCAAGGAGTCTTCTGAAAACGGTTCCGACTCCAGGAAGGGCCAGCCTGCGAGCGTATGTACAGTCCCGGGGTGGACACTGGGGGGTGGGGACAGGGCTCTGTCTGCACTGACAGACGGATGCCAAGATGTATTTTTAAAAAGGGAGAAACAGTGAGTGTGGTTTTCTTAAAAAATAAAAGTTGACTACGGTACTGACTTAAAGCCTGTGCAATCCACGTATTTACAATAAATAACCGCTCCATTCGGAGCCTGTGTGGTCAACTGAATTAGAACTGGAGTATGGTGAGGTCACACGCGCTCTCCCGGCAGGCCTGTCCCGAGATGGGGGGCCCCAGGTGCTCACAGGCCGCTGGCTCCTCGGGCTTCTCACCGGAGTGCCTTCAGAGACAGCTGTGGAAACACGACGACATGACCAGCTGGGGTGAGAATACTCATTGCACGCAGATGGCCCACCCCGGGGCTGGGCACTGAGGCTCTCCATCACTTGCAAGGGGCTGATTTCACCCAGGGGGTCCCAGGTGGGAAAGGGATGAGATGGGACATGAGTTCATGGCACGTGGGGACCCAATGCCATCTTATAAACATTGACAGGATCAAGCACCAGCAGGTTCACTGGACAGGGAGCCCAGGAAAAGCAAAGAACTTGCTGGAGACCCCAAAACAAGGCGATGGGAAAGAGACCAAGTGCCCAGGCCTTCTGGTTTTTAGCCCAGGGCTCCCGCCTGAGTGCACATCACTGGGGCCCCGTATCCATAAAAGAACGCCCTCTGGGGCATGGTTTGCTCTGTCTGGAACCCAGTGGTTTCGCTGGGCAACCGCTTTGTGTCTCACTGAAGTGAGAATGAGTCAAGATGATGTTCAGTGGGACATTAGGAAGGTCTTGGCTCTGGAATGACCAAGGCAGACTTCCCAATCCATCCTTGACTAGACTTCTATGGGCTCAGTGATCTGGGTGCGTGCCTGCCACAAGGCCAGGGACCAGATTCTGCACAGTGTCCGATCACACTTGCACATTTGAAGGGGAGGGTGACTCCTGTCCGGGCAACTTTAACACACCAGGAGAAGCAGCGACCTACAGGTGGCGGAGCACTGGACAAGGACTCAGAGGTCTGGGCATGTGACTTTGGGCAAGTTCCTTAACCCCTGGGAGCTCTGTTTTCTTATTTGAAAAAGAAAAAAAATAGCACTAAGGTATCTCTCCAGCTTCTAGCACAGGGTAAATGAAAGGGTGAAACGTGGTAAGATACACAAGTTATCTGAAAAATATATAGAGTTATGCAATGCAGGGACTTTTATTCTGTTGATGACTACATGTCTCTGACCACAGGAGTAAGGTGTTCATGGTGGAAAATTCAGGAATTGCAGAAATGCACTAGGAAGAACATAAAACTCAGTGCTAACCTCCCAGAGCGAATGCCGGTGCACAATTTTGTCTTCTTCTGTCCTACTCACACAGAGCTCCTTCTCAATGCAATCACATGCCCAGTTTTGAGCCTGCGGCCCTCTGAGGGTGGTCACTGCAATTCCTGGGGTAGCTGTGCTAGGAAAGGGGGCTGTGCTGTCCACTTTCAAGGAGCCCATCCCAGGAACCTTGTCCCTCCCTTCTCACATGACTTTCCTTGAGGTTCCATATAGCTGCAGAGGGTGACCCGATTTCACGGCAGGTCACCTCTGTCACACAGAACACCTAGCAGGGGAGGATCTATTGGATGTTTTCCAGGAAACAAAGGGTCTCTAAATATGAGACATGACCACATGCGGGGAGAGTCGTGATCTCTGCCCAGGTTAGGAGACGCTCCGTCCAAGTTGCCTCATGTGAGAGTAAGGACATTTCTTGTCTTATCACATAGGCACCTGGCCCTCCTCCCACTTTCCTCTGGCCACCAGGACTTGAACTGTGCTAAACTGGGCCAAAATAAATGATAAAGCTGATGTCTATATGGGATTAAACTTGATTTCCAAATTTGGAACATCAAATGATACCAGACCATAGTAACAGAATCCTTTCCCTTAAGTTAAAAGAAAATTTCTCTAAAAATAGATGAAATTTGTTCTCATGGGTTCTTCTTGTTCTATCACCATGTCTAATATAACTACTTTGTACCATTCTCAAGACATGATAAATGGAATTTTCTCCAATATTTTGTCATCTCTTTTTATGTTTCACACATTCTTGTGTTAGCCAGAAATTTCAAATTAAAATGCTCTATAAAAAGTAAGCAAAAATTATAATATTGATGGGGGGGCAAAAGCTCCCAAGGATACAAAACCTTGTCTTCTAGAGATGAGGGACGACACTGAGTCTGTTTTGTAAACATGACAGAGTTTCTCAGGCTTCTCAAGCCAACCTAACAAGGGAAGAATGTGTGGTGGGGGGGGTGGGGCAGGGTGAATGACCCAGAGTCCACGGGGCTTTACTTGCTTCTGCATGTGGCGGTTGTTCCAGGGAACCCCTTTCACTCTTTAGATTTTGACATCCTGAGTGCCATCCAGTAGGGAGTTCAGTACCCCCAAGTGGCTTTCCCTGGGGAAATAGAGTCTGGGGAAAAACGTGACGCTGTTAGGAGAAAGCACACCCTCCACACCTCTGAGAGATGGGAGGGCCGCGTTACCTGAGCATTTCTGCCTTTGATGTCATCGGAGCTCTGCCCAGCGGCCTCGGCGTGGAGCCAGGGACCAGGTGTCCGGCCTGAAAGGCACAGGGGCGATCTTACCATCTGCTGGCCCAGGAAGCGGCTGCGCACGTCACAGCGACAGTGGGTTGGGCCGGCGCTGACTGCGGAGGCAGCACTGGGACCGCAGCAACTTGAGCCGGTCAACCCGAAACCTCCAGGCTGCTGGCCCCGGCTGCTTGTTTCCACCGCGGCTTCTCTGTGCCAGGCCGTGATGACAGAGGCATCACGTTCGATATGCGGTGGGGGGGAAACAAGGCACTAAGACCTGCCATCTCCATGCGTGTGAGAGCGTCCTAGCTCAGAGCAGACCGCCGTCTCCAGCCTCGGAGATGCGCGGCGCCGTGCGCTAGACTCTTAAGCAGAGAGCGACAGATAAGTGCGCGCTGGCAGAATGAGGCTCTGTTCTCCCGGGGCCCAGCTCATTCTCGAACACCTGACATGCTATATATTATACAAGTTCTATATAAATGCTTTCTCATAAATGAGAATTCAGAGAACGTAGGAGAACGTAACAGGAAAAAGAAAGCCAACCGGAAGTGGCTCTGCCCTCCCTCCCCCTCCCCATCCTCTACCCCAGAGGCCCTGCTGCTCCAGGTGTATTCATTCCCCAGGACACGTGTCCCCTTGGGCAGCTACTGTGCATGTGTGTGTCGCGTGTGTGCAGGTATACAGTGTGGTTGGCCTAGCCAAGTGTGAAATCCAAATCCTCAGATCTTAAATCCAAGGTCCTGTGAGACCTTGTCCTGTGCTTCAGGTGTTCTGAATGGTGGCCTGGGTGTCGCTTTCTCTGCTGCTTTTGGTGCGAGACTTTTCTGTCCTGCTTGGGCCATGGACTAGGAATGAAATAACTGTGTCCCAGAGCCCTCCAAACAGCTTGGGCTACTGTGCTCCTTAGAAAGAGCTGTGAAATGCAGAAAGAGCACGAGTGGGCTGTCCTGGCAAAAACCTGGTAACCGCCTGTGTTTGGTGGAAGCGTGTAGGAAATGTCATGCTTATTGTCAGGCAATGGAGTCGTGAGCGGCTGTGTGAACTTTGACAAAGACACAAATAACTTGGGGCAACATCGAAAGGCAGGAGAGAAAAGCAGGCCAGAAATCATATAAATAGGATGACCTCAACTATTTTTAAAACTGATGAACATAGACATAAAACCTGAGTGGATTCCTCCTGGATTAACAGGTTGTCTTTAATCTCTCAAAACACACTTTTCAAGTTGTCTGCAGTGAGCCTGGAAGCCACGCGAGGCAGCTGTTCGGTAAGATACAGGTTTTAGGAGGAACTGCCCCACGAGGGGCCTCTGCAGCCTAGAAACCATGGATCCAGCGGGCGCTGGCACTTTTATTAACATGCTTTTTAAATCAAGGAGTGCATTTGTTCTGGGACAGAGATATACCCAAGTAAATGACAGAGGGAGGGCTAGGTTTTCAGCCAGTTTATTACCTAAATGCAAAGTAAAAAGACACTCATACAAGCCCTGACCTAATTGCCGGTGGCAGTATGACCCTGAAATGACCATTGTGAGGTCTAAAAACCTCCAGGCTACGACAGGCAGCGCTCCCTGCTGGCCAGGGTTTCTTAACGTGGCTCCTTTTGGGCCGGCTGATCAGGCCTGTGTGCTGTGGGCTGTTCGACAGCATCCCTGGTCTCCACCCATTAGATGCTGGTGGCACATTCTCTGTGCCCCAGACCGCCTGGAACAACAGGAAATATCTTCAGACAGCGCCAAATGTCCCCTGGGGAAAGAGTACCCCCACTGGAGAACCACTGGGCAATACAACAGGCTTCCCTGTAGGTCAGCAGTGGGCACTGGTTTTCGCAAACACTCCTGGAAATAATAGCAGAGCTAAAGGAGAACCACTTTCTCCATAAAACAAAGGGAAACTCTGCATCTCTCCTTATGCAGCAATGATGGGAATGGAAAATGGAAAACACTACAGTGGTTCCTAAAAAAATTTCCCTGTGATCCAGCAATTCTACTTCTGGGTATGCACACAAGAGAATTAAAAGCTGGGTCTCAAAGAGATAGCTGTACATCTATGTCCATGGCAGCATTTTCACAAGAGCCAAAAGGCAGAAGCCCTCCAGGTGTCCACTGAGGGAAGAATGGATAGACCGAATGTGGCATGCCCATACGATGGGACCTTACGGAGCCTAAAAAGGGAAGAAAATTCTGGTGCATGCTAGAATACAGGTGGCCCTTGAGGGCATGATGCTAAGTGAAATAAGCCAGTCTCAAAAAGCCAAACTCTGGTAGATTCCACTTATATGAAGCACCAAGAGTAGTGAAACTCATAGAACCGGAAAATAGAAGCGTGGTTGCCAGGGGCTGGGCGAGGGGAGAATGGAGAGTCCTGGGTGAATGGAGAGAGAGTTTCAGTTTTGCACAATGAAAGGGGCTCTGAAAAGTGTTCTCACTACGATGTGAGTGTACCCAACACTACTGAACTGTGTGTACACTGAAAAAGGGTTGGATGGCAAATTTCACGTTAGGCACTTATAGTTAAAAAAAGGAAGGAAGCATTAGGATATCTGTGTGGTGTGTGTTTGTCAGAAGGAGAGAAACAGGTGGCGGGAGGCAGGACTGCTCCAAGAGGGCGTGCAAACACACTCATCCGGAGAACAGCATCATCTCCCAAACCATGGAGAACTCTCATCTGGGGGAACCAGGTTACTGCCTAGCAGGAGGAACACTGCGAGGAGAAATGCAATTGGGCAGGCATGACCCATAGCAGACTCGCACTAATATAATTAACAAGGCTCTACCCTACGGCTAGCAGGGATGGCGGGGACGAGCTGAAGCAATTGTGCTGGCAGGCCACGGAAGTATTCTACGCCTGCCAATTACCAACGCCATTTCTGCTCTGCAGGATGTCAGTTCACGTGGTAGGTTTTCTCTCCTCTGCCTCCTCCTCCCTCTTCTCTTTTTACTGCACCTACCTAAGCATCAGGAGATTGTATTTCGGTCTGGGCACTGATTCGAACATTTCTTCGGGACGAGAGGAACATAGCGCCACCTGCCAGCTGCACCCTCCTGGCGAGCTGTGGGGGGCACAGCTTTTTTTTTTTGTATTTTCAGGGATAAGACTGGGCACCATGGCACTTCCCATTAGAATTGTCTGAGTCTGAACGTTGAAGGACTCCATGGCACATTATTAGGAAAGGCTGCCACATAGAAAGATTTTTAAGAATCTCCTCTTCTGGGTTGGTTTAGTATGGCCAGCAGACCAAATCCAGCCAGAACCTGTGTTTATTAATCAAGAGTTACAGGAAGATGGCCGTGCTCATTCATTCACTTACTGTCGTGTCCGCTTCCATGTGGGAACAGCAGAACCAGACAGTAGTGGCAGAGACCATATGGCCCGCAGAGCCTCACATATGCCGTCTCTGACCCTTTAGAGAAAACGTTTGCTGGCCTTTGGTTTAATGTAGGGGTCAGCAACCAAAAAGCCTCCAGGGGCCAGGAGGTCACATTCACGTGGTGCGGTCCAGGTGCACCAGAGGGCAGGGAGGTTTGTGGCATGAAGGTGGACAGGTGCAAACCAGCAGCAAACTGAACCCCAGAGAAGGGACCTCCCCACGGTCCCCGTGAAAGAGACTCATGGAGTTTCTGGTCTGGGGCTAATCCCAGACACCAGCGATTATGTAATTTTCCATGCTGGCCCACAGAAGTCTCGGACTGGGGGCCTCACTCAGCTTGTGGGCGGGAACACATCTGACCCTCGCCCCATGCTGCTGACTCTATCCTGTCTCACCAGCTGCTGCCCAGTCGGACTGGCTCAGCACCAGACAAGAACTGGTTCACGTTTTAACTAACAGGCAGCATCACTGTGCTGTCCACACCCCACCTTGCTTTTCTCTGCTGCCTGTGTTTCTAAAGTACTTGCCTCCCTGGCCTCTGGGCCTGAGGGGCAGGCTGGCCAGCCTCTCCCTCTGCTACTCCTGGGCTGAGCAGCAGCCTGGCCACATGATGAAACCAGAGGGAGGCAGCGCTCACTGGGCTGAGACTTTCAGCCTTGGCTGGACACTGGCATCACCCGGCAGCTTTCACAATGACCGACACCCTGGTCCTACCCTGGGTGCTCTGATTTAGTTGGTCCAGATGCAGCCTGGCCTTTTGGGTTTTTAGGTTCTCTAGGTCATTCGGATGTGTACCGAGGCTGAGAACCATTGGCCTGAGGGCACTCTCCATTTCACGGTCTGCCAAAGTTCCATGTTGGGGGTTTCGGGTCCTTCCCCGGCTACTACTGCAAAGTTCCTGCATCCCATTTTCCTTGGGATATTCAGATCCCTAGTTCAGAGTCCCAGACAGGGGAGGGGCAAGTGGTAAATTCACTCAAATCTGATGCTAAACACTGAAGGCTGGTATTCTGTAGCAGCCTTTAAATGAACCCTTGGGGCCTGGGATATGTGCATGTCCTGACACTTCCAGGAGTATGAATGGCACTGCTGTTCAGGACATGAGATGACAGCCTCGGCTGACCAATGCGCACCAGGCACCGCTTTCTGAGAGTCAGGGCAGTGCAGGGGTCCTCGCCAGACGGTACTTACTTCTGGGGATCTTGCTGGGGTAAACCTTCTGGCATGGTTTATATTCATCTGGAGGAGGAAAATCTTCCACAGAATGGAACGTGAATTTAGACTCAAAGTCATCTGCACACAGAAAATGGCAAAGTTGCTCTGGTTACTGTGATGGCCCAAGGTTCGCCTAATTGGTGCCAGGGTGTCCATGGCAGGACTAGTCCTTCCAAGGCCACCTTCCACTTCTCAAATTTTACTCTTTAGCTGAGACATGGGGGACTTGGGAAAAAGTGAAATTAACACACTCTCCCCATCACCCACTCCACCTTACATCCACTAATATCTTCAGGAAGCTTCTAAAGAGCCACAGGGCGATGCAGGGCCCAGAGTCAGAGGTGGGGAATATGGCAGCACCAGGGACAGCAAAGCCCCCGCAGCCTGAAGCCCTCCTGAGCTCCTGGGAGGGCCTGGGTTGGGGCGATGGGCCTGGGTTGGGAGGCTTCTGCCTGAATGGGCAGAACAGGGGTCCTGGGCCTGGCTGCTGACACGGAGCATGGCCTGTGTCCAGTTGTGGGCCTGGGCTCCCAGAGCAAACGGGTTCTGTCCTGAGCTCTCGATGGAAGAGGAGAGGGGGCATGTGGCCCTTTCACTGGGGCAGGTCCCTGCTTGGCGATCTAGGATTTCTGACTGACAGTAGCTCAACCCACAAAGGGATGCAAAGATTGCTGGTCACACCTGACCCCATGTCAATTTTCACCCTATCTTCATATTTTTGCCCTAACTGGCCCCCTGTCTGCTGGACCTTCTGTCCATCTGTTCACTGTGTCTAAATCACACTATTCATTCAGCCTTAGGCATGGATTTCTCCATGGAGACAGATACACTGTTAAAATGTTGGTTTTCTTCCCTCTCTAAACTCAATCAGAAGGTCAGGAGTGGGTTCTGGAGCCCTGCAGAAAGCCTCCAGACAAACCCTCTATTTAACACAACCTGTGGTCTGTTCTATGCTACCATGAGTCCCCTGTTCTGGCAAAGCATGTGCCCGGGGCTGGCACACTCCCGCTGGGCGATGGGAGCCAGCTCCCCATGGCAGACAGTGTGGCAGTGGTGGCCCCACTTACCGATGATGTGCAGGTTCCCGTTCCGCAGCTGGCCCCCGGGCTGCTGTGTCTGGGTCCAGCCTGGGACCTGCTGGCTCCTGCTTGAAAGCTCCGTGGTGGGTGATCTCGCAGGAGGAGCCGGTGGTGGATTTAGCTTCGCCCCACTGGCGCCTGACAGAGAAGAAGGCGGATTATTCCGATACAGGAGTGAATGGAGACAGCGGATGCTATAACCTTCCGTGAGGGGTGAGCAGAAGGGCAGCCTCCAGAGACAACCCGCTTGGGACTGAATCCAGTTCTCCTGCTGGGATAACAACACACCCTCCCTGAGCCTCAGTTTTCTCCTCTGTTAAGTGGGAATGATAATAGTGCCATACGCATCCCAGTGTTGTTGAGAGGCTTAAATGAGTTAATTTGAGTCAAGTCGCATGTGGTGAGGGCTCAATAAATGTTAGCTGCTGTGATAATCTCAATGACAACGACAATCCTCAGCATCAGATGGCTCAGCCCCCAAAAGGGGAACCACTGCAGAGTCCCCAGAAAGGGAAGAGAAAGGAAAGAATTCCAGGACTCTCTCCATGGTTCTAACTCTGGGAGAATGCTTCCAGTTCTTGGGGAGCAGCTCCAGCCCCTTGAACTCCAGGCTGGGTGTCTGGGCCCTCCCTCATTTTGTGGGCCTAGTGTGGGTTGGAGATGTGACCAAGAGGTGACAGACTGGGGGTGTAGCTCAGAAGGGGGAGATCTCACTGGCGGTGGATTTAGCTTGCTCCCACTGGTGCCTGAGCCATCCGTAGGTGAGTGATGCGACTGCTCCGCTGTTATTGTGCCAGGATGTTCACAATTACAGCCTCTTTCTCTCCCACCCCTGGTTGAGAAAGAATTACCCTCATGCTGTTCATGGAAAACTAGGGTTCATGTCCATAGATACAATAAAAGGGGCCGGACAAGCATCTGTTCCTGGCTTTGAGTTTCCTGCTGTGGAGCAGGCCACGGTGCCAGCTGGGGCAGCTGTGCTCTCTCACCGGCCACCGTCAGGGCTCCTCCCCCTTCAGGCCCCACCCAGACCAGCTGCAGCTGCAGACCCAGTGCAGAAGGCAGTTCCCAGTTCCTACCAGCCATCTGCTGAGCCCCTGGTACCCTGGTACCCTGCCCCTCTGCCCCCCACTTCTGAGCTGTGCCTCGGGTCTGTCACCTCTTGGTCACATCTCCAACCCACACTAGGCCCACGAGACCAGGGCCCAGATACCTAGCTTGGAGTTCAAGGGGCTGGGGCTGCTCCCCGAGAACTGGAAGCTTTCTCCCAGGGTTAGAACCATCAAGAGAGTCCTGGAGTCCAGCCCAAAGAGGCACTGTGACGGTCCCACCTTCCGATACAAGTAGAGCCACCCGGCACCTGGCTTTGTGCCCAGGTCCACGCTGCCAGCCTCCCTCCCCAGCTCTGGGCATGGGCCTTGCACTTCATCATGGAGCCGCAGCTGGAACCTGTGCAAGCCCGGGACTGCGGGGTCACGGGAGGACATGGGAAACATGCACGTGTGGGCTCATGCCTGTGGGCGGGCAGTGTCCCACACTCTGCTTCCTTCAAGCTTTAAAAAAAAACCCTCATTCTTCCTACCCTTGCTGGTCTGCCCTTCCTTGTACAAGGATCCATTTGGATTTACTTGCTCCCACAAGCAGACTAAAGGGCCCAAGCAGCTGCCGGCCCCCTCTGGATGGAAAGCTGCCCTCCACGTGGGAAGGGAGATGGAAGGGAAATAACCCGAGCCCCAGCTACAGGCACATTTCCTCATTTAATGCACATAACAATCCTACAGGAGATGTGCTATTATTATTTCCATTTGTCAGATAAAAAGAGGGCAAAGTGCAAGAACAGTTAGAAAAACTGGCACGAGGTTACACAGGAGCGGATGAGGACCAGGCTTCGGACTCAGATGTCTCTGAATCGAAAGCACTGGTTCTTTAAAACCACACAAGGAACATTTAAGAAGGACAAGGTCAGAAGGGGCTCACCGGCTCTAATGCTGGCCCCACAGTAAACAGTAGGTTGAGAAGAGAATGATTAAAACCTTATCTCTTGTGACTAAGAGCCTTAAAAAATCCTTGCTCTTTGTACCATGGATTGCCTTTCAGAAACCTATCTTAAAAACATCTCTGAAATGTAGGCTGTGATTGCTGTGAAAGTATCTCCTGCAGCAATTCATGTGTTATTCAGGATAAGAAAAAATGGAATCGACTTTAATATCTAACATTAGAAATATGGTACATACTGATTATCATATTAATATGCTTATATACCTTTATGATTTGACATTGTTTTTCATATTAAATAAAACCAGAATAGACAGTAGTATATACAAAATAGTATTAATTATGTAAATATATAGATATAGAATGTTTCTATATATTTACATAATTAATACTATTTTGTATATACTACTATTTATTCTGGTTTTATTTTATATGAAAATCAATTTATAGATACATTCTATATCTATATATTTACATAAATACAAAAAAAGAAAGAAAACACATTTAAAAATGACAGTTATTTCTCTGTGATATTGTTGTGGGTGATTTACAGGTCTTTTTATTTGCTTTTCAATGAGCTTGTATTATGTTTAACACAAGGAAATACACTTAAGAAACCTTCGCCCTGGCTGGTGTAGCTCAGTGGATTGACCACGGGCCTGCGAACCACACGATCACAGTTCAATTCCCAGTCAGGGCACATGCCTGGGGTTTGCAGGCCAGTTCCCGGCAGGGGACTCACGAGAGGCCACCATACATTGATATTTCTCTCCCTCTCTCCTTCCCTTCCTCTCTAAAGATAAATAAGTAAAATCTTTAAAAAAAATAAACTTTATGCATCAGAGGATTTTCTGAAAGACCAAGGAAAATGTGCGTAAGTATAGATGGGTGTGTAGGGGTGTGTTTTTAAAAAATAAGTTGGGTTGTTTATGAGTGCGTTTGCGTTTGCGTGCATGGATGAGTGTGAGTGGACGTGTGGGGGTTTCCCATTCAGGAGGACCCCGGAAGTGAATGAAGCCGTTCCACCGCACAGACACCCGTCCTGGGCATGCGCACTCAGTCCCCAATCACCGCTGCTGCACGGGTGAGGGGGTTACTCTTAACACGGGGCTGAGAATACTGACCCTCAGTTTTCTGGAGTCAGCAGGAGAATCTGCCTCCCCCCATAAAGGGTGGGTCACCAAGAATGCTAATCCAATCTACGGAGGGTCTGTGACCATTCTGGCTGGAAGCCGGCCTGGAATAACTCAGGGAAATTAAGCAGGAGAGCTGGTTCTGGAACAAGTGCACCCACAGCCCCCTTCAGCTCCAGGGCGATGGAGAGGATGACCATCCTCAAGATTTCGTGGCTGTCAGGCCTTGCTCCGACAACTGCCCGGGTGGGAACTACTGCCATTCCCATTTCACAGAGGAGGAGAGAGAAGCACAGAGAGGCTAGGCGAGTGTCCAGGGTAACACAGTGAGTACTAGCAAGGCGACCCAGGCCAGAACCCCTGACCTGTGGTCTGCATGCCCTAGGACAGGCCTTCCAGCCTCCCCTACTCTTGGTTTCCTGTCTCTAACATGAATACCCCCAATGTAAAGTCCCACAGAGAATAGGGGCAATGAATAACTAGGTCTGCTCTAACCCCAAATCCTGCATTAAGACATCACAAGGTATTCCCCCGTGGCTCACAGGAGTAGGCCTCTGGCTGTGGCCCTGGTACCTCCTCAGTGTCTGGCAATGGCAGCGGTCCTCTGATGGGGCCACCCTGCACCAGAACAGCTGTGCTCACCTGGGCCTCGGCCGGGCCTCTTCTTCTGCAGGAATGGCTGCGATCCAGGAGGCGCGGGCGGAGTGGGCAAGGCTTGTGGGCTGAGCTTCAGTGGCTGAGCCTGGAAGCTGGGGGACTTGGGGGGCAGTGGGGGTGGGGCTTCACTGCTGTTGTTAGGGCCTGGCATAGGGGGCACAGGCACCAAGGACCTCGGGGTGCATGAGGCATAAAGGGGAAGCGGGGGTGGGGGTGGTGGGGGTGGTGGGGGTGGCGGTGCAGGAGGCTCCGGAGCATCTTGAGTAGGGCTGGCAGCATCCGCATTGAGTCCGGGGTACCCACAAGGTGGGAGGAGAGGGAGTGGGGGTGGTATGGGTGACAAATGCAAGGGGGCTAGCTGAGGCTTCTTGTCACTGAGAATGGAGTTCTGGGGAAGAGGGGGTGGGGTTGGGGGAGGTGGCGGAGGGGGAGGTGTGAAGGGCGGAGGGGGGACCACCCCCAGGGTATTACCTTTGGTCTGTGAGCCAGGTGGGGACATTAGGGGAGCTTTGATGGCAGAGGAAGAGGGCAGGGGTGGGGGTAAGGGTGGGGGAGGTGGGGGCGGGGTGGGAGGAGGTGGGGCAGGCACGCTGGGGCGAGGAGGGATGGTTCTGGCAGCTCCATGTGCCTCGGAGGCATTGCCTAGTCTGGGAGATGCTGGGGGGTTAAGCGGCCCACTGATGGTTTTGGTGGGAAGCCGAGGAGAAGGTGCTCGAGAGCCAGGGGCCTGCCCTGTCTTGCCACCTGGAAATGAGACATGTTCTGAGTTAGAGCAGCAACAGAGCAAAGAGAAATCCCAAGTGTGTGGGCAGTAATGACCAAGGCTCTTGGGTGTGATGTCGTGGAACTGCAGGTGATGCTTTCTCCCTGCACATCTCCTGAGAGGCCTCAAGTGCGGCAGCTGTCACACTAGAGGGCCAGCTGGACCAGCCCCAAGCTCCTGGCCAGCATTACGGTGCTGTCAGGCCACCAGTAATCTCAAGGCCACCTCACTCCTACCCACTAGGTCCATCAGCCCTTATGTCCTAGTTTGGGTCCTCAGGTGCCAACCAGAGTCTCCTGGTAGGGAGGTGTTCCTCACTCCCAGCATTTGTGAACAAGGACTTTGTTTCTGCATCGAGAACAGAAGCTTCATGCTCCAAAGCCAGTGGGAACACCCTGACTTGGGGATTCACTTCCAATGACCTTGAACCTTCCACTCCTTTGGCCTCTGGAAGTTCCCAGCTCCCTTTCCCAAAGACGTGTGCCCATCTTTAAGGGGGTCGCTGTCTCCTGGTCTTCTGGCTTCCTCACCCTGTAGATTCTCTACCACATCGACCCCAGCTTGAAATCCAGTGCCTCGTGAATTCAACAACGGCAGATTGCCTGCAGAAAGCATTCGTGTTTGGTGGCCTTCATGGAAGACTGGTGAAGAGGGTGCTCCCTGGGAGTGGCCCGACGGCACTGCACACCCTTCTGACACACCCTTAGTGTTTCCCTTTTGTCCCTGCCTGCCTAATGAGAAAAAGGGCCCTCTCCCCATGTCCTGTACAGAAATTCTGTAATCCCTGCACATGCAAGCCTCCATTTAGGACGCACTAAAAATATTTCTTCCCAACAAATACAGTGCTGTCTCAAAGAGGAATTCTGGGGACTATGTTTTTTTTCCCCTGTCTCCACGCCCTCCCATTCTATAACCCCCAAGAAAACATGTGGAAAACCCTTGAAAACATGCTTGCTTCCCATCCCTCCAACTTCCTGGGTGGGGCAGACCAGGACCCACAGCCTTCACACCAGGTTACTGGTCTCTGATGCCCTGGCCTCTGATGGCGGCCTGAGCTTTTCAGTTGATGAGTCTCCTGTGTTTTCCCAACTGGGTACTAAACCCTACCCCAAAGTACTGGATGCCAAAAGCCAGGCCAGTCAAAGCCAGGTGACTCGGGTGAAGCTGAGTGGGCAGGACTGAGTGGGGGGGTCTAACTTTCCAAACAGAAGACCCTCCTCTGGCTATGATATGACGGTCACCTGGACAACACCACTCATTCCAGGCTCCGCTATGGAATGTCTGTTCCGGAGGCAGGGCAGTGACTTTTCACTCCTCTGTTGACAATTTTCTTTGCGGTGGTTCTGGAAGAGACGCCTTTGCAAGGATGTACCCACCCTGGTTGACTCAACCCCCCTGGGGGGGCACTGCCAGAGCAGCTCGGCTGACCATGCCTGGGGGGGAAACCCCAACTCGGCCTTCTACCGCCACAGGCCCAACATTCTATATGAGGTCAAGGGCAGGGGCCAGGCTCAGGGAATCCTGCCTCCAACTTCTCAAACCTGTCTCCGTAGTCCACCGAGATGAAGGTGGAGAGCCCAGGCAGCTCTCTGAACCAGGGCCCACTTGCTGGATGGACTTGAACGGGATAACAGATTTGAAGGTCAGACTCAGGCCCTGAATAACTGACCCAAAGTGTTTAAGTGACTGAGGACACCCATGTCTCCAACATTCAAAAACCCATAAAGTGAGTCAGTTCAAAGGACAGGAGCCTCTGCTCACTAAGCAGCCAACCAAACAAGAAAGGGGCCAACAAACGCATTTTTATCATAACGTGAGCAGAGAACCAAGGGTGGCACAGATCCTTCGCCTTATGTTCAGGCCCTCTCTGGGGGTGCGCAGAAAGCTAGCAGCACACATTTAAGGTGGGACCGACAGGGGAGAGAGCAGCTGATGCATGAGGACAGGTGAAGCAGGCGGGCAGGCACCGGCCAGCAGGGAGCTCCAACAGTGCGTGCCAAGGCAAGGAAGGGAGCAGGCCTTCCAACAGAGCACAGGCGCTGGCCCTGGAAACCCAACCAGAAACACAAAAGGGGACCAGGAATTAGTAGGGGGAGGCCAGCTGGAGTGCACCCAGGAGGTCTTGCTAATGGGAAAGGAGTCAGCTTGTAGAGCCTGGGGGTTATCAAAAGGTGAAGTCTGTCTTCCCCTTTCCATGTGCTTATGTTTCCAGAGGACCTTGGGTTGCATGGGAGTGTCATTACCCACTCCTTTCAACCTGGTGACATTTACTCATTGTATCTTATTTTAATGATCACTCGCTGTGAGTGCTAAGACAGGGCTACATTATGGCTTCTGGAGACCCTTTTCCTCTTTAAAAAATATTTAGAGCTACATTTTGTGAAGGCACTGGTATAATATTTGAGCCAAAAATTTCATGTTCCCCTCCCCGATTTTAATATAAATTCGTTTTCATGGGCTCCTAAAAGCATTGTGATCACTAGAATCTGCTCTCTGGGCTTCATGGCTCTAAACAGCCATACTACCCACTCACACATTTCACTGTATATGAATATTTACTGAGCACCTACTACATGCCAGGCATTTTTAAGGCAGTGATCAAAACATAGTTCCTGCCTTCATGGAGCATACGTTTAGTGGGGAAGATAGAAAATACATGAGTAAATATATAATATGTCCCATGGTGGTAATAATAAAAGGAAAATAAATTCAGATAGAAGGGATATGGAATGAGAGGGTGACTCATTCTGTATGGATGGGAGTAAAGCCTCACTAAGTTGGTCAGATGGCACTTGAGCAGAGACCTGAAGGAAGGGAGATAGTGAACCAAGTGGACACCTAAGAAAATGGGTTTCAGGCCTTGGGAGCAGTTTGTGCAAAGGCCCTGTGGCAGCAGTATGTCTGGTTCGTGTAAGAAGAGCAAGGAGGGCAATGTGTGGCTGGAGTGCAGGGCTCGAGCCAGCAAGAGTGCTAGGTAAGAAGATCGGAGAGTCAGCAAAGGGCAAAGTCCTTTTCTGTGAAGGAGGAGGGAGCCTTGACTGTCTCACTCTAACACGGGACTAAGGCCCTGCATCTATTATTGTTCTGTCCTTGGCTTCCCTCCGGGACAGGCGTCATTAGTCACTTCGCTGTGGATTCTGACCTCCTCTACAGCAATCAACACTTGCCTGCACGGAGTTGCCTCGACATCTGATACCTGTGTCCTATGGGAGACAAGTAGGAATACTGCAGGCTTCCTTGTCCCGGCCCTGGTATAACCTGACTGGGGTTATCTCTGCGAAGAGACTCTAGTGGGGTGTTTATATCCCTGCGAGTGCTTCTTTGGTCCCAGGCCGGAAGTTGGAGAAAGAAGCAGGCACAGAAGAACACCAGCTCTCGGGACGACGCTGGCACCTTCTTGTCTGACAAACCCTCAGCAAAAACGAGGACAGGAAGTGACCTCGGAGGAGATTCTGGTGGGATCTCGAAGCATCCCAGAACCCTTGTCTTTGCTGGACTTTATCAGGAGGTGACAGTGGCAAAGCATCCCTTAACATCAAACAGCCCTGGCAAGAAATTTAGCAGAGTCACATAGTAGAAGACATTCTATTCCAGGAATGTTTGGGGCTTGATATTCCTTGGATTAATGAAATTATTTGAGTTTATCCCTGCCCTCCCCCCAAAAAAAGAAAGAAAAGAAAAACACCTTTTTTTGCACATAATAAAGATACATTTTTCTAACTTGAATGCAACGTTTTCCAAACATCTGACTATGGTAGACTGGTTGCAGTAATGGCCTTGATTATCGACTCATTGCTGATTCTATACCCTCTGAAATGTGATCTTGCGGCCCCTCTCATCGAGAGATGAAGTCTGTTTCCCCACCTTTGGCTCTGGCTGGCCTTGTGACTCCCTTTGGGAGAGAGGATGCAGTAGGAAGTAATGCTGTGCCCATTCCAAATCTGAGCCTCAAGAGACTCTATATACTTCTAGCCTCTCTGTTGGAACCTTGCCACCACTATAAAAACACACTCTGAACAGTCTGCTACACATTGAATGACCAAATGGCTCAGGCCAGTCGCCCCAGATGAGGCACCAAAGATATAAGAAATATAGAATTTGCAAAGCCCTCTACCAACCTGTAGCTACTAGAGGGTACCCAGCTGAGACCACCCTAAACTGCCAACCCATGAATTATAAACTGAATACATGAGTATTAGGGTATTTGTGACTTAGCAATACCTAACGGACAGTGGGACACAATGACACAATGACTGAGAACCCTTCTGACTCACTCATCACCAGGGAGGCCACAGTGACGTCACGAACATCTGTCTGTACTCTGCAGTCTGGGCCACAATTACGCCATCACTAAACATATACACTGTGGCAAGTCAGTCTTCATTGATCACAATGGGAGGACGTAAACAGAAGGATGATTTGAAGGGCCCTTTGAGCACAGTCCTGGGCTTTGGAAACTTCTGGTGCTCAGGTTCCCAAATGCTTGATCTCCTACCACACAGCTGTTCACTGAAAACACGCTGCTCACTGGCCTGTGAAGGATTGCCCAGTTGGGTCTCCAAGTGAAGGAGATAAAGATCACAAGACAGCTCCCTGGCTGGTGTGGCGTGGTGGATTGAGCACAGGCCTGCAAACCAAAAGGTCACCAGTTCGATTCCCAGTTAGGGCACATGCCTGAGTTGTAGGCCAGGTCCCCCATAGGGGGCGTGCGAGAGGTAAACACACACTGATGTTTTGATGTTTCTCTCCCTTCCTTTCTCCCTTCCGCTGTGTCTAAAAACAAATAAATCTAGCTGGATCTGGATTCCCCCTTACCTGTTGCATCCCTCTGGCCTGCTGGTCGCAACACAGGAAAGCCACCAGCAAAAAGACCTCCCAGGGCTGGGGGGGTGCTCCCTCCTTGAGAGTTTGCAGAACCTCCTCCTTCTTTGTTGGTGCTTTTAGAACCTGTAGAGAGAAGAGGTGAGTGGATGAAGACTCGTGGGTACAGCTGAGCAGCCCATTCTCACCCTGGGCCGTGGTCTGACAATGCCTGTGGCAGCCGGCCGGTCCTCCAACCTGCAGGACCTGCGATGTCGCCCTTCCAGATAGCCTCTTTCCCAAACACCCTCTGCCCAGACCCCCTGCAGACTCATGCCTGGGCCTGTCTGCTGCGCTCTCTGGGCCTCCCAACCAACCAACCATCAGTGGCTGACTGCTCTGAAAAGTGACCTAAATCGAGGGACGCAGACACTGCCACTTAGTAGATGCCAGTGGAGGAACTGGCAGCACCTTTCAAAGGAGAAACCCAGACACGGCAGGTGCGGAGCTGGTCCCTTTTCCACTGGGCGGACCAGCCCGAGGAGACTGCAGATGAATGCAGACAGTAATGTTAACCTCTTGTCCGCAGAGCCTGGCCCAGAACGGCAAGAGGGAAGGGAAGGTCTGCAGTGATTGGTGCTTCAGCATTTCCTTTCCTGAGCACTCGTTCCTGGAGCCCGGCACGCTTCCCTCTGCCTTTTCGTCTACAGGGGAGAAAGCCTATGAGCCCCAGAGGAGAGGGGTCACCAGTTCCAGCCTTCCAGGCGTGTGCGCTTACCAACTACTTAACAGGGGAAGACATTCAGCTGAGACCAGGGTTCCTGGCAAAAAAACTCTTCCCAACCTGAAGCTAATGAGCACAGAGAAATGAAGGCACAGTGCCCACCGGTGGATGAATACGGCCAGATTATTCTAAACATTGACATTATCCATTACCAATTCATTGGAATGATTAGTAAGTGAGGAAATAAAATGGACTTATCTCTTCATTGGGCTTAGTCTCACCAGACACAAACTTCTAATTTGGTTGTGGGAAATATTTCTTAAAATAATTTTTCTATCCTTGCATATTAACATAGAGAGCAATTACAGATACTAGATTCTTGTATTTTTAGGACTATCTTTCAGAATTAACATCATGCTCACCATTAAAAATATCTGAAGACATAATAATACCTTACAATAAATAGTTCTGCACATGTTATTTCAACCTTCCAGAAGGTTGTATGTTTCTTGACAAATACAAGAAAGAGCAGGTATCATCTCTCCCATTTTGCAGGTGAGCAAACTGAGTCTCAAGGAGGTGCCGTGGTAGCAGCATGAGAAGTCATCCGACCCAAGCACACACTTTATTTACCCTGTCATCTTCTAGAAGACATAGAAAGCTGCAGCCATTTGATCCCGTGAGGGAATTCCAAATAACTCTTTCCTTGTGGAAAAACAAAAGATTTGCATTGTTTAATGTTGAGACTTTATGTTTTCTGTCACTGAGTTTGGGGGCTCTGTTGCCATGCTGACGTTTAAATGTTAGCTCACCGTGGAGGAGAAGCACAGAGCGGCACAGCCCTGCGACGAGGCGGTACAGGGCGTGTGCTCGGCGGTGCAGAGGCGGGGAGTGCTGGCTCCTGCTGCGTGCGTGGACCTGGCACACGTGACGCGCAGTGAAAGGAGCCAGCTCCAAAGGCCACGCATTGTGTGATTCCACTGATGTGAACTAGCCCCAAATGGGCAAATCCGCAGATGCGGCGAGCAGATTTAATGGTTGCCCGGGGCTGGGCAGAGGGAGGAATGGGGAGTGAGTGCCAGTGGGTCTGGGCTGTCCTTTTCGGGGGCTGGAAGGAATGTTTTGGAATGAGATGGGGGTGATAGCTGCACCACACTGTGAACATTTAAATGCCACTGAATTGAACACTTTCAATGGTTAAAATGGTGAATTTGATCACAATTTAAAAAGTTATCTCACCATGAGATGTTTTTTTAGCACTTGAAGAGTGAGGATACAAGAACCCTATGCACTGTCTGCACACCTGGAAGGGAAGCTCCGAGTCTCCACCCATGGGGCCCGTGCACGGAGCAGGTCTGAGATAGTGTGACTTCTGTCCTGGGTGACAGGCGTGGCCCCCGCCCTGAGCAAGCCAGGGGTGCCTGCCTGAGTCCCCCCACCCCGTGGCCTCCCGTGGCTCAGGCAGTCCTGGCCCACGCGCTCACTTACTCTCGATCTGCGGGGCACTGCGGTCATTGATCTGTGTGACTTTCCGTAGGCGAGTTCCTTGCTGGATATCAGCCAACAGTGCACTCCGACCTTTGGGATCTGCCTTCCGCAAGCTGGAAGCATCTGTACTTAACTGTGAGGGAGCAGGAGGGATTCGATTATAATCACTATAACGTCTGCAGATAAGCCCAACGTCCCGTCTGCTGTAAGGTTTACCTCCTGTACTTCTCTACCTTACCTGCTTGTCCTGCTCTGCACCATTCCTAAGGCCCATCTTGCCTTGACCTCTGGGCAGTTAGTTACCTTCAAGTCTCTGTGGAGACTTACCTCCTGCCCTGCATACACCCCCTCCCTAGGGACCTAGAATGGACTCTTTGGGCTTCCTTTAGGAAGCCTGTATCACTGACCCTCTTCCTCCTCCTAGCTAAGCCCCACCTGCAGGCCTGGGCTTCAGGCAGGGTGTTCTGGACCTGCTCCCAGGTTCGGAGTGACCACCCTGCTTGGTGTCCACTCCTGGAGCGAATCCTTTGCTGGCTTCAGCTTGACACAGGAGTTGGTCCTGCTGCCCTGCCTTGCCCTGGGCCATTCTGAGTGGCACTGAGTTGCACTCAGTCACCTGGTCCTCATCCTCCCTGCTGCTGCGTCTCCTGACTGAAGCAGGTTCAGCCCCAAAGAGCAGGTTTTGAGGGAAGGACAGTGGTCTTCATACAACCGTGGAGCACAGCAGGGAACTGGGGCCCAGAGGTGTCATGAAGGTAAGGAGACAGGGAGGGGAGGGGATCACAGGGAAGGGTGAGTGCCTGCCTACTCTCTGGGCCCGAGCCTGTTCTGGGACCCTCACTGTACCTTGACCTCATTGTACAGACAAGAAAACCGAGACTGTGAAATTGTCTGTGTAAGAACACAGAGTTCAAGTGCAGATCTGCTCGATTCCAAAGGCCATGTGCTTTGTCCTTTGCAATCAAGGTCATATGCCATGGTTAGGCTAAGTGTCCTATGCTAAAATGCATCATAAATACATTTGTGAGAGTAACCTTCATTCTAAGTCTTCAAGTGGCCCCGAGGTCCAGCTGTTTCACTTCCACTGTGGCTTGAGCTGACATGGCAGGGGTCTCCATGGACTACCAGATCCAGGGGGCACCAAACAACACATTCAGGTTGGTAGCAAATAAGGGGAGGGGTGGGCTGCCTTGGAAGACCGTCAGGAGGACCCACCAAGGTTAGGTTTACATCACAGGACCTGAGAGCTGGTCAGCCGTTTCTCAAAGCATGAAATGCCACGTGCCTTCAGCTTTCCCCACACACGGCACTGCCTCAGAGGTCTTTTCTGACCCCCAGCCTAAGCGAGACCACCCAGTGTTCTCTCTCAGGGCGCCCTATTCTTGTTCCTTGGTAACTTTTATCACAGGGTGTATGTTTTTATTTCTGTTTTCACGGTGGGCATTTTACACTCGTGCCTATGAGTTTAAGGTTTACTCTCCCACGTTTCCCTGTCAGGAGATAGACCGCGTTCATTTTGTTCACCAACATGTCCCCAGAGAGCGGAACAGGGACTGGCCCCACAGGGACTCAGAAACTGTTCACCGGGTGAATGAATGAGTGAGCGAATGAATGAACCAGACCCAGGATACACAGAACACATCGGCCTTGTCCTCAAGGGCAAGTGCGTATACAGGGAGAATGGACATGCACGCATGGAATAAAGCCACTGTGTCCTGCAGCATGTGACCATGTGAGTCCCCCAGCGAGGGGGACCCCGGAGAACTCGGAAACGGCCGCATTTGTCCAGCTGAGCGGGCCGCAAGGGAGACAGGAGACCTTCGAAGGTCCTTGAAATACGGACAGGATTTACGAATCCTTGCTGTAGCCATTTTTGTTGTCATCGTTCAGAAGAGAACACGCCGGGCTTGCTGACCACACCGTCAGAGTCTCTGTCACATCACAGGCTAGAAACGAAGGCAGCTGTGGTCCTAGCGAAAATGTGCTGAGCCTGCATTTCCCTGGCTGAGTGATCAGTGTGATGGATCTTTGAAGGGTGCAGGCTTCACAGTGGGGTTCTTAGGAGAGGGGCCCTTGAATGATGGTCACCAGCAGAGCCCTGGGCCAGGGCCCCCAGGCCCAGGGCCACACCTTTTTTAGGAATGGGTGAGAGACTACACAGGCACAGACAGCAGGGGGTCCCCGCAAGGCAGGCTCAGAAAATCCTACATATAGAGCATTCATGTCAGTAAGTGGAACTGTAAAGCTCTGAGACTTCTAAAGTTTATTTAAAAATCTTATTTATGAACACTTAGTGACGGGAATAAAGCGGTCGACAGAAATATCACGAGGCCGAGAGGACAGGACGATTTTCCTAAGAATCTGGTGTTGTAATCTCAGACATGGGTCAGGGTCCGGCACAGGGGAGAGCACGCTCTGCCCCCGTCTTCCCCGTCACAAGGCAAACAACCCTGAGTCAAGTCACCAACTGGGGTGGTGGCCTTGAGGAGGCTGGGCTAGATGGGGTGTTCTTCTGATTCAAGAAGTAACGAGATGGTCAACGGCCACACCACCCTGAACGCCGATCTCGTCTGATCTCGGAAGCTAAGCAGGGTCGGGCCTGGTTAGTACTTGGATGGGAGAAGTAATGAGATGAGCAGACCTTGCCCTCGTGACATGGCGGGGGGGCGGGGGGAGTCATTTCAACTGATTTAGACTCGACTTTTTATTTCTTATCAAAATTCATCCCCCACGCCCTGACCTTGCCCATCCCAGTTTTCAGGGGAGGGCTGTGAAGGAAGTTGTGTATCTTTGGGAAAGTGGTTTTAAACAGATTCTCTACTTAGCACAGCTCTCAATAGGTTTGTTTTTTAAGACTTATTTATTATGAGAGAGAGGGGAACGGAAGGAGAAAGAGAGGGAGAGAAATAATGGTGTGAGAGAGAAACATCAACCTGTTGTCTCTTGAACCACAGACCAAACCCACAACGCAGGCGTGTGCCCTGACCAGGAATTGAACCGGCAAGCTTTCGCCTTGTGGGACAACGCCCAACCAACTGAGCCACACAGGTCAGGCCAGTATGTTCTCGACGACTCCACACGACAGATTTGTTGATAGACGCCTTCCAGATCAGCAGGAGGACGTGGCGAGGCGTGTCATGTTTACATGACGCAGCTCGACTTGCGGACTAAATTTAGCAAGCCTTCTGTGACTTTCTGGCTCTTCCCTGCTCATGACAGGCCCTGACAGTTCTCCACTAGAGGGCTCCCTTCTCCTGGTGTGAATACTCTCTGGGGAGGTGGAAAAGAATGAGTTACTTTGTGGCTAAGGTGGTCATGCATGTGCAGGCTTAACCGTGTTGCACAAAAAGGCATCTCGGGATGTATCATTTGCACATCAAAAACTCTAGTACGCAGTAACAGTCGTTCCTGTCGTCTGCAGTATCTATTAACAATTAAATGAAAATTTACTTCTTAAGAACCTACAACCCTAAGAAGTCTTGTTACTGTGGTTACAGCATACAGAAACAGGGAAGAGGAGATCTCCAAACATTCACTGGTTTTTATTCTATGCAAATCCTGATTACTGGCGACTTCAATAAAAACATAATCAAGGGAGAGAAAGCCACTCCCGGACACTTTTCCTGTGGCAAATCCATCCACCAAGCCCCTCCCTTCCCCCTTTCCCCCTTCCCCCTCCCGTCAAAGGATAAACTAAAACATCACTTCAAAGTCTCCCGAGGTTCTTGGTTGTTAGCATTGTTAGAGTGTGACAGTTTTCTGGGTCCCGCGCAAGGCTTTTGCTGCCTCAGTTCTCCCAGAGCCAGCTCCAAACGGGAGAGCCCCGGTCCTTGGAACACGCGAAGCAGCAGAAGACTAATGCAAATCAGCTCCTGGCTGGCGTTGCACGGGCTGAAGAAGGGAAGCGAACCAATGAGATGAGGAACACGAACACTGAATGGCGGTGCTAACAGAGCCAAGGGCGGTGAGCTGTCTGCCCTCCTTTCCTGATAAATCACACATGTTCTTGCATATCCATTTGTCGTCCCAACAAGAGACTTGATCAGGTTGGGAAGAAAGATGTCAGTTCAGCCCGGATCAAAACCTTGAACCGCACGGCCTTTCTTTTATCCGTCGCTTTGCTACCAGAGGCCGTAACAGCACCTGCCTGATCGATACTAGTTTCCGTGCGAAACACTAATAACAATCTGGGCAGTTGAGCCAAACCCAGCAGGTTGTTTGTCTTAAGGCTGATCTAAATCACATCATTTTCATACAGTGTCAGCCTCGCAGCGTCTAAAGATACTTCTCCAATGTGGCTGTTGTACCTAAAATTAGGCCTCAGGTTTCCAGGCACACGTTCTGCTCATCGCTCCAGATCTCAGCCTCCTCCTGGCCCCTCCGAACCTGGGGGCAGACAGCAGCCAGGGCACCTGCCTTACATTAGCACGTCTGAATCCCCGAGACAGCCAGACTGGCCCATAGGCTGCCACGGGGGGCCCAGGGTCCAAGAGACAGCCAGTGAGTATTTTCAGACAACTAACGGTCCCATCAGGCCCGACACCATGTCCCCTGTGCTGCAGATGTGCAGAAGTCAAGTTGTTCCAGAATGAGGCATCTTGCAATCTAGTAGTTCTATGTCTCACTTTTGGAAATGCAAATATGCAAGTACAATCCATGAGCAAAAAGAATGGACCCTCTAACCTTTAGAGAGCCTGGTTTATTGGGCGACAGACTTGTTTTCTAGAGGAGAGAGCTGCCTTGCCCACTGCTGACTCTCTTATCAGGAGGTAAAGCAGAATCAGGGTCTTTTGTTGGGGCTACAGGCCACCCAGCACCCCAGCTTGCCTTTCTCCACACAGCTGCCAGACATGTCCTTTCCCACCATAAAACTCTGCTGGCTCCCCCCTGCCCTCAGAACCATGTTCAAATCCCTTTGTGTTGAGCAAGGCCCTTAGGGACCAGCTCAGACTTCCACTGCCACAGTGTTGGATGCTGGAGCTTACCCCTGGACTTCAGCCTGGGTTCATCTGTCTGCTCTCAGCACACTGGTCTCTTGGCTGCTTTCCAGGGAGCTTCCTGATCCTGGAAGGCCAGCTGAGGAGCCCTGTCTTGTTCCTAGAGCAACATGCTCACCCTTAGCAGAGCACCGCT